TGTCGCTCCCCGTCGTCTTCAACAAAACACCCCCCCACCACCACCAACACTCCCCACCCGTACTCCCCTCATCACCCCCCATACAGCTCCGCTATAACCCCCCCCCCCCCCCCCCCCCCCCCTTTTTTTTTTTTTTTTTCATTTCTTCTCGGGACCCTAGGTCAAGTAGGTTAGATACCTTAGGTACCTAACCTATCTACCACACGTGGCCATTGTATTAGATTTGGGGGTCGTTCGTAAGCTGGTCTATATCAGTGTAGTTTAGTTTAGTCAGTGTCCATCTATGGGAATTCGTAAGCTCGAGGTACATTTATTGGTTCATTAGTTTCTGATGTTTAGGTGAGTTTGAAATATAGAAAGGTATATATGCGAGTCATGACGGGAAGACAGGTATCTGGGTAGAGGATGAGAGAAGGGACGTCGATAATTCGGCCTCAGGATTAGGGAACAACCTAAAGCGGCTTGGAGGACCGGGTGTTGGGAGGGAGGGAGAAATGCCTTACTTAGGTACCTATCTGGTAGGTAGGAGATGAATAGGTAGGTACTGTTGGCGCAGCATCTGCAGATGAGGACGTCCATACGTACACGTCTAATCCACAGCGTCGGTAGATGGATGATGCAGATGACGCTATATGGATCCGATCCGATACGATGCGATCTGATACGATCTGATACGATACATATGATGAATACCAAGATCTACGAGTACCTTAGGTGGGTAGTCATCAGGAACAGGAAGCTAGTGTATAAATGTCTAACCCGGTAAAAACATGATATCATCAAAAAAATAATCGAAAGAGACATGAAATATCATTAGAATCGCTTATTATGAGGTGGTAATACCACTCATGGTCAGATAGACTGTAATAGCACTTGTGCTATTAAGAAATACACTTTTGGCTCAGCGGTGTATCTGTCACTTATTTACAGAAACAGAGTCTATGCTATACTTTGCTGGGCATTACAAAAACAATAATAAATATATCAAAAAGGCCAGATTCTTGTCTTTTTTTTTTTGTACAATTTAATAATTCTCTCACAGGCTATATCTCCATGTAAACTATACACAAGCACAGGGCCTTGGCTCTTTGCTTAAGTACCTTTTAGCCCTCTATGAATAGATCGCGTAGGAGAGAGATTAGCTGTTAGATACACGCCTCAGACCTAGATAGATACAAAGACCTCCTCCCTCCTCTTCTCATTATATCGCACAACCACAACCACAACCACAACGCAAACTTTATTGCATCACATCTCTCTCTTCTTCTCTCTTCTTCTCTCTTCTCCTCTTTCTCCTGTTTCTCCTCTCCTCTCTTCTTTCTCCTTTCTCCTTCCTACAACAACTCCTCGCTCTCGCTCAAGTACGCACTCAAGCTCGAGCTCGATCGATAACGAAACCAAACAAACAAAAAAAGCTAGATTCAGAACGCAGCGTCGGGAGCAGAGCCAGTCGCCATCGCCTTTTGAGGATGGAGATTCTAGTGGTATCATGCAAAAAAAAAAGAATAAAAATAAAAAAAGAACGGACGATGAAAAGGGAGACAGCCGGAAAGAAGATGAAAGGTAAAAAAAGTTAAAAACAATGAAGATTTTGCTGCTGATGATGAGTGTCGAGAAAGTTATCGAGGCACCGCCTATCTCTAATAGGGACGCCCAACGTCCGAATCGATGATGTACAGCAATGCTATAATTATTCCAAAAGTCGAATATAGAACGTTATATGTATGTCCATTGTGATAAAAAATAAATAAATAAATACCGGCCGGCTGAGCCTTTCAAATACGAAGAGGGGGTTTTGCAACTCGTGTTGCGGTGGTAAAAGAGAAAAATATAATATATCCATAGGTGTATATTGCTGGGCCGCGCCTAGGCAGCTTGTAGGTAAATGACGTCTGAACGAATGTGCGCTTTTCCGATTGACCCTTTTTTTCCTTCTTCTCCCGCGGGCGTTGTGAAGACTCGTCTATATCTCTGGCCTAACCTCCGAGTCCAAATCCAGAACTTTTGCTCCTTAAATGAGATTGGGTATAAGCGAAGGTCATGAACGGTTTCGTAAGAGTATCATTAGTTTGGCGGGAAATCAAAAGCAAACACCAGTCTTGAAAATATATGAAAGGATCTATTTAAACGGCTGGTTGTTGTTGTTGTCTCCCAAGTTCAGCCAGCTCAAATCGTTTGAGTTAGACGCCGTAGCTACCTGTGGCGGCTGAGAAGAGATACCCGTGGGAGGTCCGCTTGCACCGGGAGGCCCGAGAACAGTCTGATAGACGCTCTGACTATAAGTGCTACTGGGAGCCCGCACGTCGCCCCAAGCCTTTTTCATCGTCGTCGGATCCCAAGTATCGTGAACACTAGGCGGGATGCCGCTAGAATAACCGGAAGATGATACAGTAGATATGGGACGTTCTATTTGGCCGGACAGTCCCTCTCCGATGTGAAGGTTGTGCTGGGAAATTGTTGGGCTGCTCGAGTTGACGTAATTCAATTCGGCTCGCCCTTGTGGGACTTGCAAGGACGGCACGGATAGGGCTGGTACAGTCGCGGAATCCTGAGTTAGACGATTTTTGTTCGAATAGAAAGAGCTGGGCTCCGAACCATTTCCATGCTGCGAGTTGCCATTCCCGAGGCCAAAGACGGAAAGCGCGCTACCACCGGACCAGTAACGATTCCAGCCAGAGCTCCTCCTCATCGTATCATCTCCACTGTCTGGTGCAGCTGGTCGAGGTCGCGGTTTAGGTTCGCTCAAATCGGCGGCGAAGGCCACACCCTTTTCATCCCTCGAGAGGAAATCTGGCTCTGGACCTTCCTGAGGCTGTGGTCGACCAATAGTGCTCTTGAATTGCTTATTAAAGATGCTGTTGGTAGAGTTACGCTTCATTTCGTTGTTTCCTTGAGGCTGCATGGCGGACTTCGGTACCTTGCCCATCAAGATAGCCATTGACGAGAATGAACCTACTGAGTCCTGCGGGACATGCCCTTTGAAGTGCCCACCCGGGTCCTTTGCGAATTCCTGGTCAAATCCGCTCTTCTCGTCCGATATTCCCCTGTCCATTGGCGCATGTCCTGCATCAGCATGGTTCTGACGCTTCCGAAGGTGCTTCATCCAGAACAACAAGCACATTAAAACAAACGCGAAACCGAAGATAGTTCCAAGTACTATTCCTAATAAAGTTGTTGGCTCGAGTGAGTTGTTCTCCGCTTGAGGTGCAGGAGTAGGCGTAGGGGTAGCACTGATGGCATCAGTAGTAGCAGCGACGATAGGATCCGAGGTCGAGGTCGAAAAGGACGTGGCAGTGCTAGAGAAAGAGGAAGATACCGATGATGATGATTCAGGTGTCGACTGGATAGAGAAACCCTTTTGCTGTCCAAACACGGCTGTTGCGTTTTTCCAAGTGTTCTGCTTCGCATTGAACATGCACAATACCTCATCGTCGTTTCCACCCGATATTACCACCAGACCATTCGAATCGGTAGCTATGGAGTAGTCATTCCGTGTGCTACGCGGCGCTAAAGTCGAGTTGTATTTCGGCCAGTTGTCCTCAGTAAGTGCTCGCTTCTCAATAGCAGCATCGTTGCCCTCCTGTAAATCACGACTCGAGACAGATTCTCTGACTGGGGCCGCGCCGGCTATAGGGAGGCCGCCACCAGTCGACAACATGGTCCTGTTAACAGTGTTTGGGGAGGTGCTCATATCAAACGTATAAAGATGTTTGCTACCATCATCGCCGTCTATAATAGCAGCCTTGACGAAAGTGGAGTTCTTAGGCAGCGGCTCTGCCAAAGTTATGCCTGGATCAATCCATGAGGCGACCGGATCGAATAGCATTACTCGCGTGTTAGTTGGGTTACCACCGAGCATGACTGCTTGTGTGTCCGACCATGGAAGAATTATTGGCGCGATTCCTGGCGGAGAGAGGGTCGATTGAAAGGCCAACACCTCGTATGGTTCAGATGCCCCAACGGTGAAGGTTTGGGAAGACAAACTTGGGTTTCCATCAGTAGAACCTGAGTAAACCAAAATCGAATCGCTGCCCTGGATATACGCGGCGCTATGGTATACCCGATTCTGCGTCACGTTCACTTCCGGAGCTATAGCTTCCCATTTCTTGGTTTTATACGTGAACTTCTGGAGACCCGCGTAGTCAGACGACTTCGACTTTCCGCCAACGACGAATAGTGCGGCCTTCGAGGAATCTTTCGGCGTCGTTCCAACACAAACACCACCTTCCACCGAGTGTCCACTAGCTAACTTTTCCCATTGCGCCCCATCTTCTAGTTTTAACGACTCGAATCCAGCGGACGAGTACGAGTATAAAGTATTATCGAATATGACGCTGCATGCGCCTTTTAACGGCAACAGCGGTTCAGGAAGTGACATGGTATGATATAAAACTCCAAACCCAATGCGATGACTCCGAGTAAATGAGCGACAATAAGACCAAATACAGTGGCCTCCAGATTACGGTCGCTTTTCAAAAGGTCATGATCATCTGTTAAATGAGTGTGGAAGGGGGTTTTTGGTGGATGTTGGAATTGGATATCGATATCGTGTTTTAGTTAGAAAAGCGTGGCACGATGTCTGTAATAATGCCCGTCAGAGGACAATCGTGCAACACTGTTGAAACCAGATAGTGATCTCTCGATCGTAAGAAGTTGATGACGAAGAAAAGACCAAACTGGCTTTACTAAGAGAACTGCTAGAGTAATCCGATATCCAAGGCAAATATGAACCTGCCACTATCGAGTTTATTGGCTGTGGCTTTGCGATATAGCAAAGCTGACTCGATGGCAGAAAGGCCCGCCCACGTAGGACAATATGATCTGCAGAACAAAGTTTGGTGGTTCCTAAGAAAAAAAAAAAAGATGTTTCCGTCCCGTAGTGAATGGAGAAAAGAGAGCGAGAAGATGGGTGGAAACGGATGATCTCTCTCCTGACGGGCGCGGTGTCGCAGAGTTGTCAAGGTATGTCAAACCCTGGCGGATCAATATACGTCTCCGGCAGATCTAAGTTAATTAGTTTTTAGTTGCTTTGGCTAAAAGTGTAACCGACTTTCGCAAGTAGGATGGGTATTTTAGATGTGCTACAATGTCGAAATATTCATGCGGCAGACTAGGCGTAAAAGGGGAGGTTTAGAGAAAGATTATGGAAAAGCGACGATTAGAGCGCTGGTAGGTTAAGACGCTGACGAGCGAATCCTGGGCGAGCGAAGGATGAAGGAAGACAATGAGAGGATACCGCAGCGATGGGATGGTATGGTCCCGAAAAAAAAAGAGAGGCAAGCTGCAGCAGCGAGAGTGAGAGAGCAGGGCTTCTCAGCGAGCTACTCGAAAGAGAGAACGTGTGTAAGAGAGCGAACGGGAGTTACAGCGAGAGAGTTACGGAATACAGTGAGAGAGAGGGTTACACTCTCTGTTTGCGGTTGAGCGTTTGGATGAGAAGGACGGGAATAGGACAGGGGAAAAGGACAGGGGGGTTCCTGGGCGAGTGTGGATCTGCCATCTCCTGATCGAATAGGAACATGGCAATGTTCAGGGGACAGGCGATTGAAAGGTAACCCCGTTGAGATAGCGTCAGGTACCCTTCAACGGCCAAGATACGAATAAGAGATACCTAGGCCTCGGTACGTGCAATTATTACCTAGGTACCTCCTACCTAATGTACCCTGTGGCTGGGCGTGTAAAGCGTGCCATAGATGGGTGGGTCCAGTACTACGCGTGAAGTTCAGTCAGTGGTTGCAACTTGCAAGCACAAATAGGGGTAGACTTTTCTCTTTTGTCACCCCTGTCTGATACGACCAGACCTACCTAATGGTGGAGAGACTTTCTCGCGTGGTTGTGGGTTTTCTGAGTGAGCGAAGGATCCCAAAGAGCAGCAGTAAATTAGCATCGTTTCGCTCAGTCCGAGGTTTTGTCTGTCTCTCTCGACGAGGCTATTCGCAATAATTAATAGTGGTAGTAGTATTATTATTAGTTACTGTGCACCCTTAGGTACCTAGGTAGGTATATGATGCATGCATGATATGTAAAATACTGGGTAAAATATTGAGGGGGCAGTCAGAATCAAAATCAAAACCAAAAGCGACTGGGTAAAACGAAGGATGGAATTGTCCAATGGAACCAAACTGTCATTGCGTGTTCTCTGGATACGTCGTCTCTTACAAATGAACCTTACCTAATGACGTTAGTATACCACGGACACTAAACCAGTCCAAGAAGGCGTGCATATGTGAAACTCTAACCCCACCAAGTACCAAATTTATAGTGCTGTGCCTGTATGCATAGTACAAGTATGTACTATGTAGGTCTAGGTATGTATAATGCATGCAGTGCTTTGCATGGCGCCAGGCACTTCCTGTGCGACACTCCATTGGCCCCTAAAGAAATCCGGTAGTATCTGGCAGAAATCGCTACCGATTAATTCGTCGCTTTTTTAATCTTGTATTTCGCTTCTAATGCACATATCCGGGAGGGTTCTTGCTTTTGGTACTTACTACCTACCTAATGCAATAATTACCTTAAGCACCTTTGCTGAATTATGCTGCATTTAGTTTAAATGCCTCTTGTTTCCTAGTCCAATACAACACAAAGTCCCATTCACTTTACGATGTTAAAACGTCAATAATAATGAGAGAAAAAAAAGATGACGAAATTGATCGAGTCCCAAGGACAAAAGCGAGCCGTGCCCAGAAAAGATGTTTGCTTCAGAAATATTATCACAAGATGGTTTGTCATGTTTGCTCAAATGACCCTAAACATGCAACGACCTTACTGCTATTCTGGGCTAAGACGCCATGTCTCACCTTTAAAAACAAGTTACGCTGACGAGATCAGTGCTTAGGGTAATAAGGCAGTTATAGAAAAAAAAATCGCGGTACAATACTTTATTTCGTCTTAACCTGCATAAAGAAGTACCTAAGCTTTCAGCGACGATACTAATATTTTCAATATTGGATTGGAACGTACCCATGTTGAGGGAATAAACGATGGTCGCAATGCAGAGATGGAGACAAATTTATTAGAAAGGAAAAGAAAAGAACCGGGGCATGTCGTCATCCCGTCTGCCCGTATTGATTTTTCTTCCAACAGCATTAGGTAATCGATCTCTACCGGGGGGGCCACGAAAATCTTACAGGGGTTGAGAACAGACAGACTTGATTGAACTTTTTCAAGTATCCAAGTCAGTTCAATTGATTTGATTTGACTTTGACGGTGTTTATCAAAGTAAGTGAGTGGTTTGTTTATCAAAAACAGTTGCTAACAACCCTTACAATAAGTCTACTACTTCAATTTTGACGCGGTGGCCCCGGCCGCGCCTTGATGGACTCAGCTCACGCGGCACTTTGACGAAATACTGCGCCTGCAACACCTTAAAGCCTGCTTTTGGACAGGGCGATGCTGTACAAGTATATTAAAAAGGCGCAAGGTGAGATGAGGATATATTATACTACCTAAGGATGATAAAAGATTGATGTGTGTCTTGCGCGTTGTTGTCGTGTTTCTTGATAGCGTTATGTTGTTACGTGTTCATAGTAACTCCTTCAACTTATGCGCCCGAAGAAATCAACGGTCCGGCCGACGAAGTAGTTTTTGGTAGGAGAAAATCACGAATGTGGTAGAAGGATGTTTTGAAAGGATAAAAGTCTTAAAAGATGTAGTGGACTGTAGGTGGCTAAAAAAAAAAGTCAGGACGATAGTAAGGAGTTTGACGATTATGCGAAGTTTGAAAGGCGTAATTATCTTGACGAGCGACAGTAAATGTTTTGACAGTTGCGCGAAATTTGAAAAAAATACCTAGCATAAGGTATCTAGGTAGTATCAGATCGGCAAGTATTAATCTGTTCAAGAATGACTATCAACGCCCGCCCTGCTTGAGTCTCAAGGCGCGAAAGGCTCTTCACATGCGGGTAGCCCTCTCCCATTTCTCCGCGTGTCTCCAACTATAGTCCCCTAATCATTCTATTTTGTTAGCAGTCTAGTAGCCTAATAACCAAATATCCCATCAAACCTCACTTATTGTACCAAAGCTCTGTTCACATAATTCGATATTTCAAGGATAAACCGTTGGGATGGGGTTGTTGAATTTAAACACGTTCTGGGGATCCCAAATTGCCTTCATCGTAGCAAGACGAGGCAACTTACTAGCCCCATATCTAGACTCTAGCGTCTCGTCTCCGTGTGCAGAGTTAATGTATACAGCTAACTCAGGATACCCTGATGTGGCGGCCAGGTCTCTGCGAAGATCTTTCGCTAGCGTTTCCACTGCTTGTTCAGTGTTGCTTGTGTCGTCTTTCCATGTAAATAAAAGGTCTCTGGATTATCAGGTTAGTAAACGATTTGTTGCAAGTCTTGAACTTTAAAAAATATATATATACATACAAGATGGCAATCGTGTCGCGCCACGGATATGCTGTTTCGTCGTCTGGTACGGCAAGAGCCGCTTGGTTAGGATACATAGACATTTGCAGTAGGCATTCACGCCCTGCTGGCGTTTCCTCGTAGAAATTAGAGAGCCTTTCAAAAGAGTCCTTGTACGTCGACGTGGATAGGTTGCGGGCATTGATTGTGTAAATATCCTGAACCGAGCCTCTCTGGCATTGGTAGTAATCTGAGCCACCGCTTACAGATTGTATAACCTTGTTCCATCCATAGGTAACTTCACTAGTGATGGTTGGGTTAAGGTCATATATCGACTTCATAGCATTGCGGGCTTCCGTTTCGGGACCGAAATACGTCCAGATAGACCTCAATTGAACCTTGACAGGAAAGCAATATTAGTTAGGCTCTCTCCTTAGCTTACTGAGGTGCGACAACTTACAGCTTCGGTAGTCGAGTTAAATGCGATAAAAGTGAAGATAGCTAATTCCTTCGGCAGCTTCCCTCCATCGTATTGCTCTAATATGTCAAAGTAGGAATGGTTTAATTTGTTCGGGATTATAGATTCGAGAACGAATACCTGACCATTATTGACTTGTTTTTGAAGCTGGTAAGTTGCAGATAGGACAATGCCGAAGTTAGCCCCGGCGCCACGGAATGCCCAGAACAGGTCTGGATTCGAACTCTTCGACACCTCAATTAGGGTACCATTGGCAGTAACCACGTGCAGTGAAAGTAGTGCGTCGATCACTAGGCCGTGAACGCCACCCCATGGCCCTAAACCGGGGCCAAGAGATACGCCTACCATACCAGGACAAGAACAAGTGCCTATTTCTATATAAATAAGTCAGTCGAATATATACCTAAGGTAAACCTTTCACCGGTTGACACCCTTATGCATTTCATACTGGGACGTATCGGATGGTACGCACGGATTTCATACCCAGCATCGAAAACAGGAGTCATATATATCACTTAACGTGACGGCACCTCCGATAGTAAGGGTGCCACGATGTTGATCCACCCTGATCGTGTCAAATTGACCTAGATCGATTGCCAGGCCGTTGTTCAAGGCACCTAACGTTGTGGTGTAGCCATGGCGTCCGCCCGTGGCTAGAAATGGTATTCCATTAGATGTGGCAAGCTTGACCTGTCTTTCGTTGAGCATTTATATTCCCCGTGAACTGATTTTCTAACATACAGCTTGAATCACATCAGCCTCCGTGGCTGGGCTTACGGCAACAGCGTAGGTTGGCTGGTGAAATGTAGACCACCGTACGGTAGCATTGGTAAAACTGTCGGAGCCAGGAAACGAGACTGTAGTATTGATAGACCAATGGGCGCCTGTGAAGATGGTCTTTATATCATGTCTTCCTAGAAGAGTCTCGTGGGCTATAGTGGAGGCGAACCTCCCTAGAAGAGTAAGAAAGACAGTGAGCTTCATTGCGAAACGTGATGGTAGCAAGAGTGAGCCCGAAATTTCCTGAAAGACCTTTAAAGGGAAATTATAAATAGGGTTTTCGATAAGATCGTAAATACTATATGAAATCATACAGAACGAGAGAGAATATGAGAAAACTTCGGACGACATAGAGCCTTATATGTTAGGATATACGTTAGTTTGTGAACTGGGGTAGATATTCTCCTGACCTTCGGCTTAAAGTCCCATTATCATACCTTCCGCCATTCCTGCAGATGGCTCTAAAGTCACACGACGGAAAGGGGTAAAGGCATAATGTAGATGTAGGTAATGAAAATAAAATCTCGCCAACGCTAAAGGGGCCGCTCTGCCGAAGATATCTGAGTAGTATTAGGTACTTCAGAATACTCCAGTACTACTATGCCAAAGACCGGAATAAATGTCTTATTTCTATAAATAGGTGGCCTCAGTTGGAAGTTATCTGAACTAACTAATATCTGAGTTAACATGCGGCTGGTACAGTGTAAACAAGCAGATGTTTTATTACGACGTTAGGTATCACGGATGCGATGCACAGAATTTTAGGTGCGGGTTTTGGCCCCGGCATAGTAGGCAACAATATCTTTCTGGTAGGCTTATCTTAGGTAGGCAAAAGTAAATTTGTCTTACATACATGTACATAAGAGATGCAGTGATAAAAGCAATTAGGCGCCGTGGTTAACCTACCTAAGATTAGGTATTTGCCGTGTACTCGACTTAAGGAGGTATGGAGGAATAATTGGGGGTAACGCAAGGCGCGGTTCTGGCGTTCAGCTGAAGTTGTCTACATGCAGGTAGGTACCTAAGGTAGTTACAAGTAGTTCTGCATTATTACCTAGGAGGTAGGTAAGTGTTTTAATACAGTCGCCTGATATTTACATCGACTTTCATCGTTGGTAATAGCCAGGTATAGCCGAGTAAGCAGGAAGAAACATAAGAAAATAAATTTCTAGCCGAGGTAATGAGTGTATTAACCTCTTTAACTACTTCCTAGGTATTTACCTACTATGTGTATGATATTCTAATTATTTGAAGTTTAGCATTTATTATCCATCGATGTATGCAAATTGGTGTGTCTCAGATATACCGTGTGATGGCTGTCTAGGGCTGAGTAAAACATACCTAATGTAACCAATGACGAATGAAGCGACATTGTGGTTGGCAGGTCCTATGAATGTTTCTCTCTATCTAGTTCTAGAATAATAATTGACGTATGAATCAAAAGGTTCGATGAGATAGGTGGCATAATACAGATACCAGAGAGGTAACAATTATGCAACAATGGGAAATTACCTAGCAGCGGCTTTCAAACAGTCTTCTCATTAAAACTGTCCTCCACAAGTTGCACAAGAGCTCGAATATCTTTCTGTGAACCGAGAAGATCGAGAAAGGATACATCAACCCGAAAGGTATTCCAGAACCACAACCGCAACTCGGCTGCCATCATGCTGTCCACGCCGAACTGTGATAGGGGTTTTCGGTCGTCAATCTGGTCAGCTGCTGCAAGAATCATGCTCGAGAATCGCTTCTTCACCAAGCGCATAGTAGCCTCTTTTAAGGTGAGAGTCCCAGCTTCTTGCGCGAAAGGAAGTTTGAAGCTGGGTGGTAGCTGATTGAACCACGAGGAGGCACCTTGTATTTCTGATGAACCAGTTTGGTTGGCCATAGACGCTGGCGAATTCCGTGTCTCGGCAGCGATTGCCGAAGCCAGACGGCTCATGCGGAGATCTTTAATTGACTCGAAGCTTGCATAGAAACCTTGGGCCATCAACTTACGAAAGTTGAACGGCTCAAATCCTGTCAGAATATGAGGCTCTATAGGTCCGGCTTCGGCATTTCTCCCAGATAGAGCCATATCTATGACCTGCAGGAATTCAGCTTCGTCCAGAGGTTGAACCCCTTTTCTTAGCAGCATGGCCTCGATTTCTGGATTTTCGTGCAGATATCCCACTTCTGAGATCATCCCGAGCCCAACTGACGTGGCCGGTTTCCCCTGTGCCCTCCGCCAGTGAGCAAAAGCATTTAGGAAGCTATTTGCTGCGCAATAGTTGCTCTCTGTGGGGGTACCGATACTACCTGACATGGAGGACAGCATTAGGAAAAAGTCAAGTTCTTCATTCTCTAGGGCGTGATGCAGATTCCATGTCCCAAGGCACTTCGGTTGGATCGCTGTTTGCCAAGCTGTATGGCTCATCCGGCTAAAAAGCGCCTCGCGTAGTACCATAGCAGCTTGGAAAACGCCGCCAATATTTGGGCCTGCCTCTTTACAAGCCACAATTGCCCTATCTACATCAGATCGGTTTGAGACATCGCCTCGTATCACCGTCACGAAGGCGCCCATGGCTTGAAGTCGCTTTACATGAGCTTGTGCGCTTGGTTTGTCGCATCCAGATCTTCCGAGAAAGCAGAACTTGCGTGCACCTCGAGATATCATCCATCGACTGAGGCTCCGTCCGAGGCCTCCGAGGCACCCCACGAGGAGGTACGACTTATCCGAGTCAAAAATGGTGAGATATGGAGCAGGTACGATCTCCCCATCGCTGTCAGTAAAACAAAGCCGGGTGGATTGTGAAAGAGGGCTTTCGACTTACGGGTATATTGCTGTTATGATTTTCGAGGGACACGACTACTTTTCCTATTCGATCCTTTGTTGAAAAGTATCGGAAGGCTTCGTAAGTCTCTGCAATATCAAACTTCGTTATTGGCGCTGGCTTAATTTGCCCAGACCGATATAGCTTGACTATCTCCTTGATCTTGCTACGATATGATATAACCCCAGTCAGATATCTTCCGATCGCGGGATCCATTGAGTCGAGCGGACAAGGGCGACTTACCTATTCCAAATACTGTGATAGAATTCATCTGTATGCCAATACAGCTCTGTCAGATCGAACGCCGTGAACGTTGAATTCTTCAAAAACAGATGCATATTCAGTTGACCTGCATCAACAATCTCACGCTTTCCGACTTCCACAAATCTTCCAAATGGTGCGATGCATTCCCAACTTGCATGCATTAGCTCACCAGTGAGCGAATTGATAACGACATCGACACCTTCGCCCGTAATTTTCTTGATACCTCGAAGAAAAGACACGTCACGCGAAGAAAATATGTGCGTATCCGGGATGCCAAACTCCGATGTTATAAATTCCCGTTTCGCTTTGGAGCTCACAGTGGTATAGATAGTGGCACCGATCCTCTGTGCAATGGTAATGAGAGCCACGCCCAGTGCGCCAGCACCTGAATGTATCAAAATCGACTCTCCCGATCTGAGACTTGCTCGATCGTCCAGGGCGTATAACGCTGTAGCATAAACGACTGGGAGACTTGCCATGATGGAGAGATCCTCACCAGGAAGAAGTTTATGGACAGCCCACTCTGGAACACGTTCCAATGTTGTGAAATGATTTGGTGCCATAACGACAACTTTGTCCCCGACCTGTATGTTGTTGACCCCTGGTCCAATATCTGCCACAATACCACTGAACTCGCAAGCTGTCGTTGCATCTTTCGTCTCTGTACGCCCATATAATGTATATATGTCTTTAGCATTGAGACTGAAGGCTTTGACATCAACGTCAATAAACCCAACAGGAAGAGGACTTGGCGGTTCACACAGCTGTTGGTAGTAGAGGGTGTGCAGAAGTCCAGGTTTACCGATAGATAGCCGTATTGGTAGATCATTTGCTGGACATTGAGCTTTTTCTTGGCTGTACCGTCCTAACCGGTGGCTAAACAGCGTGTTTAGTTCCGTCTCTGGAACAAAGCGACTTATGTGGAGTAGACCATCCTTTTGAACAAGCTCGCTATCTATGGAATCGGTGCCATCACTCATCAGTAAGCATCTGGTAACATTTTCGCAAGTGAGATCTATCATCGCCGAGGAGTCGCTGAGTGGCCCTATGTCAAGGACCGAGAAGCGCAGGGACGGCTGTTCCAACATCAGTGTACGAGAGAGTCCATGGCATAGCGCCATGTTTGGGTCCGGCAACTCTAACATATTGGCGCCAATGAGCCATAGCATATCTGTTACGGTAGTCGTAATTCTCTGAAGAGATCGCATGTCCTCTTCTGACATACTAGCAAGAAACTCATGTTCGACTTCTAGCATAGAGATGAAAATTGTCTTCTCAGTGAATTTGACTTCATTAATACGACCAAGTGATATCGTTTTCACCTCGAAGCCGGCGCTCCTCTGTAGATGGCCTGCAACAGCAGCCGCCAGTGTGAGGATCAACTGAGAAGGCTTGTGGAAAACAATAATTATGTCTCTGTCTTCCCTAGACATGCTTCCATATGGGCGCATTGCAAGCGAAACATGTTTGCTGACGTCGGTGACAATAAGTGAGGTGGTGTGTGACAAAGCAAGTGCCTCTTCTGACGTTTGGTATACGATAATCCCACTACCAGGAGCAGGAGAAAGCAACCCGTCCAAGCACTGCGTCCAATATTTTTGTAAGTCAGGGACGTTTAATAGAAGAACCAAGTCAAATGGCCCATCTACGTCCTCTGGCAGTTGGACTTGTCCTGTATTGTCGAGTAAGACGGTATGAAAACAATCACACTGTGGGAATTCACCGTCCGCTTCTAAGACAAGTAACCGTCTTCTGGCCGCTTCACACTCTCCAACTATCTTGAGTACTCGCATATCTGGGTTCTTATGCCCTGCAAGGTCAAGTAGGACTTTGACCGCTGTAAAAGCCTCATCTCCTACAGTATCGAGAGAGCCATTTCTCGCAACATTAGCAATGTACTTGTTGATTTGCCTTTTGGAATTTGAATGCAATCTGGTAATGTCTGGTTTCCAGCGAGCGCAGAGCATCGGGTGTCGTAGGATGACCGAACCATTTGAGGACAAGGCATCGGTCGTTCTGGACGTATATAATGACAATCGAACACCCTTGAAGTCAACCAATGGTTGACCGTCAGGATCTCTAAGTGTACTGTCTATTTGCATGGTGGAGACTCCAGTCTTACAGGAGTGTGTGTGGATAGGGGCATCATAGTCTAAGCTTTTATGTCCTGGCACCCAAACTCGGGCTTGAGATATGAAGCTCAAAAGATAGGCCCGAAGAGAGGAAACGTCACCTCCTGTACTCCCGATTATGGCCGCTTGTAGGCAAGCATCAATTGTAATGGGGTGAATAGGATAATCAATGGCATTAGGCCCTTCGGCAGCGGAAGGTGTGAGTTTAGTAGTGCAGACGCTCTTCGGTGTTTTTCTGTTGCCATCAGTGCTTAGGCTGATTAAGGACCTGAAGTCACCTTCGAAGGAAAGACCCTCTTCCTTAGCCTTCTCGTAAAATTTATCGGTGGCCCATACTTCGAAGTCTGCGGTATCCGATATCATCGTAGTTCCTCCATAGTCACTGGAGTCATCTAAACATACTCCGCCGGCGCAATGTACAACCACCTGGCCTGCTACCCACGAAGAAATCTTAAAGTCATACTAAGTAGATGAAGCCGTTGCTGTCGACAACCTTCGTGGGGACATGGTGGTGTAAAGTTCGACATCATCCTTTGTAGTATCGTCATCTTCGGGCAAGATGAGAGCTGCGGCGACATTTACTTGCCGAAAATCAAACCCAAAGCGTCGTCCAGTTGTTTGATGTTGAACAATACCTTTGATACCGAGCATTTGAGAAAGCGCTTCAATCGCAACAGCAAGATAACCCGCAGCGGGAAAGACGATCTGCTTTTCGATTTTATGGCCTCTTATCCAAGGCATCTCATCTAGGCGTAGGATGTTACGCCAACTCCAATCGGTACCATTGCCGGCAAGCTGTCTTGATCCTAATAATTCATGACGGATATGTTGCCTGTTCCTTAAATCAACGCTGGCTCGAGACTCGTACCAGAGAACTTTGCCGTAGTCCCAAGGGTATGTTGGTAGATCGAATATGTGCCCTAGGCCTATAGTTGACAGCTCATTCACCTCATTCCAGTTGATCCGATTACCACGGAGGAACAAGGTGCCAGCAAGTTGCTTCATACAGAAGTCTGCGTCAGAGCCTTTGGCCAATGTCGAGGTATAACTTAATTGTTCGTCGCTTAGCTGGAGCTTTGCCCGAATCTGTTGAATAGGACCTTTTAGTGCCGGGTGCGGCCCAATTTCGATCAATTGGAAGTTTCCCTCGGCAGAAAGGTTGCTGAGAGCAGAGCTAAACTGTACTGGCTTTTGGAGATTTTCCCGCCAGTAACTTGTTGTAGCAACGTCAGTTTCAAAGATGCGAAGCTGATCTCCAGAATACCCTACAGAAGAATACATTTTGGCTCTCAATAGAGGTGTCGTGGTTTCGGGAAGGTTCTGTGCGAGGAGCTGTTCGTATATTCCCCCAACTTCCTGCATAATAGGTGAATGGTATGCGCGACCTCCTGTTTCCAGTCTGCGAACGAACACGCCTTGGCTTTTCAAAACTTCTATGGTTGTGTCCATCTCTTCAGATAGTCCACTTAAGGTTACGCTCTCAGGGGCATTGACACAAGCAACGCATACTTTCCCCTGAAGTTTGTTTGTGCTGATGAATCTTTCAGAAGCCTCAAGACTGAGCCCAACAGCCAACATTGCGCCTGGTGATCGAACCCTTTCTACAGCGTACCCACGAAAGTAAGCTATAGCAATAGCCTGAGACGCCGTTAGGAGACCAGCTGCATAGGCAGCAGCAATCTCACCAGATGAATGCCCAACAACAGCTGACGCGATTATACCCCAAGTTCGCAACATATCAACCAAAGCAATCTGAATAGCTGTACAGAGCGTCTGGCTTCGTGTAGCTTCATTTATCAGGTCATCGTGACAGGTGAGAAGAGTCCCTTCCATGGTCCATTCAGGGGCATATGGGGACGGTAACCCTTTCAGAACTCCGTCGAGTTGGCGTATGCTCATTAGAAATGACATATTCACTTTTAGGAGCTGCCTTCCCATTCCTGAGTATTGTGCACCTTGGCCGGTGAAGACAAAGGCAAATGGCGGCAGGCTCGCAGGAAGAAAATCCACAGCTTCGTTTCCGTCGTTCTTATGCACCGTTAGCTTCTTATCAAAGAGAGCATGAGCTATAAGGAAGCTCTTCATCCTGAGCTGGGACCTGCGTTGTGTCAGGGTAAAAGTGAGCCTTGCGAGGGTTTCTGTATCCGACTGTCCAACGACACTTCTAATTTGCTCAATTCGCCTGTCGAGCGATATGGCAGATGCAGCAGATACAGGTAATATAAAGCTCTGGGATAGGCATCCTACGACACCTATTCTTTCGTGCGACGAAGCTTTTAACAGGTAGCTGTTTGCAGACTCCAAGACTACGTGAGCGTTGGCGCCTCCATATCCAAACGAATTGATACTGGCACGACGGACACCACTGGGCCAACTTTCAACCTCAGTCGCAACCTTAAAGTTCCGCGATTCGAGTTTCACTTGGAATTTTAGATTTATCAGCAGAACAATACTCTAGCAGTGGTGATATTCTGCTCACATTTGGGGTTCAGATTGGTCACGCCATGCGTAGGTGGAATTACGCCGTTGTCTAAGGCCAGAGCAACCTTGATGATGGACGTAAGACCACTGGCAGCCTCGCTGTGACCCAAATTTGTTTTTACCTATTTATAATACGTTAGATCTAAGGCCGACAGCGTATTAAGTCAGGTAAGTACTCACTGAGCCGATTATTAATGGGGTTCCCATCCTGGGCGAGAAGCAACTCGCTAGGGCGTCAAGTTCGATAGGATCACCTACGGCAGTTCCGGTTCCATGGCATTCGATATAATCTGTGTCGGTGAATCTCAACCCAGCATTGGCATATGCTTTACGTATGGTAGCTTCTTGGGCAACTGCACTTGGCAGGGCAATTCCTGCTGTTTTTCCATTGCTACAAACAGTTCAGTTACCAAATTTGGTAGCCAAGTCAATGGGAAGCATGGGCATGCTTACGCAGTAGTAGCAGTACCGCGAACAACAGCCCAAATCTTATCCCCGTCTCTCAGAGCAGATGATAGTGGCTTTAGATATATCGCGTTAATCCCCTCCGCTCTGCCATAGCCATCAGCGGCAACGTCAAAGGTATGGCATGTCGAAGTTGGTGACAAAATGCCCCCTTTCATTGTTCCTAAGTGCTGCTCTGGGGACATTATAAGATTCGCAGCTGCAACTATTGCCTCCTCACAATCTCCTGACCGGATTGCACTGACTGCACTGTGGAAACAGTACAGTGAAGAAGAACAAGCTGTGTCAAGTGTGAAACTATAAACTATCCGTTAGTTTGGGGGAAAATTATTATATTGAGATATCTGGTTACCTGGGCCCTTGTAGGTTGAAGATGTTACTAATTCGATTTGCTAGGATTGACGTTCCGGCTCCAGTGGCAGTATATCTTGAGCCGTAATCAGGATCTCTTGTTTGCATTGTTTGATAGTCTTGAGTGAAGTTCCCTACAAACACACCCGTATTGGTTCCTATGCCGTATTAATGCTCCAAACACTTTTTTCAAAATACTTTATTGATACTTTACGATACCTGAGATCTGCTCCATGGACAATCCCGCATGTTCAAGGCATTCATACACACTTCCAGGAGCTGACGCTGCTGTGGGTCCATGTAAGTTGCTTCGAGGTTATTGATATTGAAAAATGCGTTGTCGAACTGGCGAATATCCTCCTGTATAAAGTACCCGCCGTTTGCACTCATGACTCCGGACCGTTTGCTGTCGGGGTGATAGAAACCCTTCATATTGAAGCGCTGGGCAGGTACCACACCCTGGGACGATTTATTCTTAATTATGAAGTCCCATAACTGCGATGGTGAACCTATCTCGCCTGGAAGACGGCAAGCTAAAATTTGGTTATGTTAGAGCACCGATGATTATTCGATTGCTTAAGGATACGCCATAGGTGTAGCCACGAAACATACCTAATCCAACAATACAGACTAGATCTTGGCCAGCACTGGAACTCCCACCAGGCAATATACTGCGCCCGCCAGATTCACTGTTCACAGTCATAGTAGCTTCCAGGTTCGAGTTTGGCAAATCACTAGAGACTGGCTCGGCCATGGAAATTTGGGAATCCAACACGGTACGCAAATATTCTACGATATACACGACTCATGATATTTATGCACTTGTTTGCATAGATTCAAATTTGGGGACATTTCATCCTCTACGTAATATCCCAAGGCCGAAGCTTGAATCGCACTATATAACGTAGAGTAGCTTTGGTAAATTTCGTTTGGTACCTCCCATAAGAGAAAATGTACATGTACTGGGACTTACATGTAATCATCGGGAAGCTACCTCGATATGAAGCCTCAGGGTGACCTGGGCGCTGTCCTACATAAGAATAGGACCAATCGGAATAGACTTAGTGGTAGCATTTACACATCCACGCAGAATCGGGCTTCGGAGACATACAAGATAACGCATCTTGTTCCGCGCCGCATGCGTGGCCTGCTTATTTCGGTGATATTATGCAACTATCTCCGTAGGTGGCATGCGGTCTGGAGGTATTCTAGAGGCACAGGAAATCGTTTAGACTTTGAGTACTTACCGTAGAGCAAGCCCCGACTCATGCCGTCAACTTCTCTTCCTTAGAATACTTTGAATTAGAAGCGTATGCTCACTTGAACAACAAATCCAACATCCTACCATGGCTTCCACACAGCAAAGCAAGCCTAAAAGCGAGTTGAAAGAAGGTGAAATCAACGAGTATGGCCTTCCTCACAACCCCCGAGGCCTGGGATATATTTCGCAGGGCTTCCCAGCGCCAGGCTTACGTCGTAATGTACGACATATCACTGGTCATGACGCGAATGGCAAAGCCGTGTTTAAAAGCACAGACTGTGGTGACCATCATCTCATCATGGGCGAGCAGCAAGGCCTCTCAAACATCATGTATTCGACCCACGAAACCCCAGTGGACATCAATGACGACGTTGACATCAAGTATGCAAAAGAGAATCTGGTTCGTACTACCCCTTCATCACTAGACTGGATTGATGACTATGATTTCTACTCCTACCATCTCTATGACATGGCTGATAAAAACTTATTACACGTAGCCGCCTCTCCATTACCAGCATGGTACTGTGCTTCGTATGATTGACTTCGCACCAAACGAGCTATCGCCCATGCACAGGGCTGTTTCCATAGACTACGGTGTTGTATTGGATGGTGAGTTCGAGCTGATCCTCGAGTCGGGAGAGCGGCGTATCATGCGACAGGGAGACATCTGCATTCAACGTGCTACAGCACACCAATGGCACAATATATCTGGCGGGGGGAATCTTCCTGGCCGGGTGATGTGGTTTTTGATCGGAGTTAAGGATGTCATTGTGAATGGAGAGAAGCTCGAGAGTTATTTAGGGGCATTGGGTATTTACTATAAGGGAGATGCGGATGAAGGGTCAGGCAAAGAGGCGACAGAAGAGACCGTCTAAGCACCAGGGAGGGCGATGAGGAGAGTACAAAATTAGGTACCTGTCATATTCATTCATAGTAGGAGGTAGGTAGGGTTATACGAAGCTACTGAGCCCGATACGTGAAGCTTCCACCATACCTTACCCGTTTGTGAGTTAGCCTTCCGTCCTTTTTTGAAAGCTCTTCTTCAATTTTCCAAAACCGAACATTCTCCATAGTATTGAATCCTAGTAGGTACCAGGTAGTTAGTCTCGACGTCTATAAAGTCCCAGTGATGTTGCCATACCCAAATTTTGCGAGGCGCTACCGCATCCAAGAGGCGGACCAGTAAACTAGCATGACCTTACCAGAACCATGCTGGTGGGGTCAACTGAATTATATTCCGCTTCAGTGTTAAAATCGATTCTTCGTCTGTGACATCAAGTGGGAAGCATGTGATGCCGAACCTAGTGAGATGTTCACTAGACTCGGAAGGCAGTACAGTTGCAATGGGCTGGATACTATGCCTAACGTATTCGCGGACCAATGCTTCCCCCTATTCCGCCCTCACCACACCTTAACAGTAGATTAGCCACCGTAAAACACGTATAGGAGCAGGCCGATGCGCATACCCAGTGATCAGAGCAAACTTCAGGCGATACTGCGGCATTCCTGGTAGTACCTAAAAAAATGAAAATAATAAAAATAATAATAATAAAACAGGTACCTATGTCTATGGAATTCTTTAGTTAACACGGCGGAAAGGGGACCTAATTGAAGTTTGAACAGCCCTGGAAGATACCCAGGCATTTACCTAACCTGCGGGTGTTTTCCTTGTAATACATCAGGACACGTCTTCCGGTCCTATACAAAATATTATGTAGGTAGGTACTGACAGAGACAAACCGCTAAGCCAAAAGTATATTCTTAATAGCAAAATTGCTATTACAGTCTATCTGACCATGAGTGGTATTACCACTCACAGGTACCTAGGTAGGATGTTGCACGAATCCTTGGTACTTAATGCAAAGATCAGGACTGGAGTTGGGGAGGGGTTAAATGGTTACACGACTTCCTCTAAAATACCTTTAGGAGGTACCTAACTTAACATATCATGTATCTAGTGTGGCTTCTACCTAATTCTTGTTACACCACATATGAGGTAGGTGCTTTGGGGTGGCACAATTGGAGGTCTCCCTTTATCTCGGTCCAAGTCGGACTTAAAAAGGAAAACTGGAAGATTTTAAACATCACAAAAAAAAAAACTGGTTTGTCCCCCATGTGCATTCATTATTGCTGGTGGCAGTCGATATATGCGTTAGATACAGTGCGCAATCCCTCCAACGTAACTGGGCGTAAATGAAATGTTGGGAGGCTCTCCCTCAATACCTTAATACTCACACATAATAAATGACCACATTTACCATCTCTCACTTATCATCGCACTCATCATTAAAGGTTTCCCTGTAAATCCATCTGTTGCAGCCTCATACCCTAGGTAACCCTCCTATTGAGGTATTTCCTACCTAGTAATTATCTCACCATGACTACCCCAACTTTCACCAATATCGAGAAGCGGGCGGGTGTGCTGGATTTCTTGCGCCGCCAATTATTCGAAGAACCGACTTTACCACATGATGTCGACCTCACAGGGAAAACAGTAGTTGTAACTGGATCAAATACCGGCATCGGCTTCGAATGTGCCCGTCAGTTACTGGACTTGGGAACGAGCAAGCTTATTATGGCAGTACGCAATGAATCCAAGGGACAAGCAGCAAGATCGGCTTTACTGTCGAGCCATTCTTCTCTCCCGGAAAATAGCATCGAAGTATGGCAACTAGATCTCCATTCATACGATAGCATCACCGCATTTGTAGAACGTACAAAGGATCTCGAACGCCTAGACATTGTCATTTTAAATGCTGGCATATCGAAGCAGTTCTTCGACCTCACCCCATCAACAGGCCACGAGGAAACCATCCAGGTCAATGTTATATCGACCGCTCTGCTCGCTATCAACCTCCTTCCTCTACTGAAGCTTAAGAACCCCCCAGGCCAACCTGGTTGCTTAGTTATAGTATCATCAGATGTAGCGTCTTGGGCTAAGTTCAAAGAGAGAAACTCTACGCCGCTCTTGGCTGCGCTTGACAAGCGCGAGGCATTCAGCAAAATAGATCGTTATCCCACCTCTAAGCTTCTTGCTCAGTTATTTGTGACCGAGCTGACGAGACGAGTCCCCTCTTCTGTTGCTGTGGTCACGCTTCCTAATCCAGGTTGGTGCTATAATACGGGCCTCGGACATGTCTCGGGTGGCACCATCGGAGAGAGGATTGTGGCCATCCCCAGGCGGATCTTAGGGCGCCGCCCTTCGGTTGGAGCTCGAGCAGTTACCGACGCAGCCGTTCATTATGGGGTCGAGGCGCACGGCCAGTATAGTGAAGACTGTAAATTACAGCCGTAAGTGTCGCTCTTGTTTCTGACAAACCGAATTGGCTCTTTGGACCTAACTAAGAAAACTTGTCAACAGCAAAGCCCCTATTTTCTACAAGCCTGAAGGCGATAAGCTTTCCAAGACACTTTGGGACGAGGTTATGGCGGAGCTGTCATTCGCAAAGGTGAGAGATATCATTCAAGAACTTGAAAAAGGGAACTAGTTATAGTGCCTGTAGTATCATTTTGAGCCTTTCATTGCTGATCGAGAACTATGGAACTTCTATGTATCTACTACAATTTTGTGTCGGTAGCCAATACCTAATCGCCCAGTTTGTTGCTTTAGGTCGAATAGGCGTTTAGTAGTATGCGTCAACTTTCCACTAGATACAAGTTGTTGTAGAACAATAATAAGAGTTGCTCATTGTGAACTTGAAATGGTGTCGACTCCTAAGGACAGAAATATCACAACTTTTTCATATCTTACTACCTAGCGCAAAAGCAGACTACTGTCAAACAACATGACCCCGCGGAGCGGGGGTCATGTTGAGACATCCTTTAGCACCTTGCCTTAGGTAGGTAAGGTAGGTACTTACATGGCCCCATGGTTTCATGGAGAGAGGTGAGGAATATCTTAAAGTAATGTGCTACTCTAGGTACCTGACCTTAGGTAGGAGGTAGGTAGGTAGGTACCTTAGGTACGCAACTTTCAGACATATCTTCCTAAATGTTAAACAGCGCCACTGGGTAGCGATGCTGTTGCTATTCTTAGACCGTCGAATGCTAGCAACATGGACAGTAGCTCTGGAAACAGTGTTAGCAAGCCGCGTTTTATCTTACATGATGACAGGACCAAGTTACTTATATGATCAGCTTTCCCCCCTTGAGAATCCGAGACTTCCTCTACTCACCTAGGCACTGGCCAAGATTTACTAATTTATTATTCCAATATGATAAGCTTCGCTTCGTTGAACGAAACCCAAAAAATGCAATTCTCAACAGCGGTGCCCTGCAACCCCCAGAGGGCCTAGAACCCAACTTCGACAATCCGACCAGTGACGTACCTGGAGCATCCGCTGTGTTCTCGGTGTGTCTGGTATTGTCGACTATTGCGGTCTTAGGACGTTTGTATACCAGATTCTTCCTTCTCAAGCAACATTACATATCAGATTGTACGATAAACTCATATCTCAAAGCCATATTATCGCATTTCTAGACACCTTAATAGCTAACCAGTATCAGATATACTAGCAATAGGATACGTATGTACCTATTATCATATTCTTCACGTTGGATTACTTACCTAGGCACCTGTTTCTTACATACCTACCTGCCTCCTACCTAAAGTACTTATGCCTTTTTACTAGGGCTTCTTCATCTCGGAGTTCGCCTTTATATACAAGATGGCTACGGTGCCTGGCCTATTTGTCCATTTGTGGGACGTCCGCTGGAGAGATTTCATCAGTTTTCTCAAGGTAAGCAAGCTACCGAAGTACCTGATAATCAGTCCAAAATGTCTCATACTCGCAACCAATAGAATGTTTACATCACATCTCAGCTGTACATGTTCAGCATCCTATCCATCAAGATCGCGATACTCCTGGAATGGATCCACATCTTTGTCGCTCCCGGCAGCCGTGGCTTGGTGTACTGGGCAGCCCATGTCACAATTTGGATCAACGTGGGGTTCTATCTATCCGTCTTTGTTACCAACGAAATCGCGTGTACGCCCTACGAGTATAGCTGGAACAAACTGATAGACGGTAGCTGCGAACGTGCTGACACCCACTACACAAATCTAGCCTCGTGTGTCTTCAATGTTATATCCGATATTGTAATCTTATTGATCCCATTGAGAGTTATCTGGGGGCTCAACATGCCTCAAAAGAGGAAAGTTGGTATCTCGGTGATTTTCTCTATTGGTTTCATGGCTTGTGCCATGGCAATCCTGCGGCTCGTGGAGACTGTCCAATATACCGAATCCCCCGACTATACCTATACATTCGCCGGGACCATGCTTGCTAGCGGCGCCGAACTCACGTGTGGTTTCTTAGTGGCGGGCATCCCAAGCTTAGCGAAGCTTTTGTCATCGCTGGACATGCACAAGCTCAAGCGCAAGCTCAGCTTCGATTCTGACTCCGGCCTTGGAAGACTCTGGCACTCAACTCGAAAGGCTACTGGAAGATTGTATCCGAGCCAGGATAACATGGACTCGTCTTCCTTTAGACGAGTCACGACGGATCAGAGCTATCTACACCCGAAGAATTACAACCACCAAACACACAACTATCTGGGGAGTGCATCTTATTCTTCTATGCCGGCTGTCGAAGGTGGAATTTTGCACCAGACGAAGTTTAAAGTGACCGAATCCTACGACCTTGAAGCAGTCGATGCACTCCCTAACGGCCCAAACGTGAGGGGTTGAGACTTAACTCGCAACTTCGGGGCTTCGGGGCTTCGGGGCTTCAAGGCAAACTGGTGTCGTTTTCTCACTTTCGTCTCTTTTTCATTTCTGCTTTTTCTCCTCCGTCTCGATTTTCAGCTTGAAAAGGAGGGTGGGGGCCATGGGGGGCGACTTAGACAAAGCGTTCCAACACATATGACGGTATCATCCAAATGTAACTGGTACATTCGAATGGGCGTAGCGGTAACACAAGTGAAATTGGACCTAGGGAATTTTATTATGTATACCTGGTACCTTACTTCTAAGGTATTTAGGTCCATGTATCTCCTGGTATCCTAGTCCTAGGTAGCCTTAGGTAGGACTCCAAACAATACCTACCTACCTAGGTATATTTAGGCACGCATGGCTGTGAATCTGGCTAATGCCATTGGACATCACTTGAATCGACCAGGACGTGAGCCTCGTTAATCTTCACTGTGCGGTCAACCCCAGTGAAATTCAGAGTTGCACTGTCATATCATCTGCAGCTTTTCTCTTCCCTTTTTCCTTTCTTCCAGCTAGCCACCTAGCTAGGGAGGTAGATAGTCAGTAAATACCCTGTCTAGTGTCCAACATTTTGATTCTAGAACAAGAACATATATCATAGTTTATCACGATGTCGGCAGCATTCAAATGGTCTAGCATCATGCTATCTACTACGTTGGGTTATATTATACCAGGGCTTTCGATCTACGTGAGTCCATAGCGAACCTACCTAACAGTCTTAATACCCGTAGAAAAGAACTAATTGATACATACCCTTGCAAGATACTGATCTACGTGACATACCAAATATTTCTCCATCCTCTTAGTAGTTATCCCGGCCTTCTCATCGCTAAACTTACGGACGGCTACAATGGCTTCTATGCTTTTCAAAGAGGACTTCATTTAAAGACGCGGCAGAACCAGCTGACATATGGTAAGGATGTCTTATACTACAATACGTGCGACGCTACCTGATCTAAGAAGAACACAGCTAACCTTCAAATCCAGGTGCTGTTGTAAGACAAGGGCCTAATAAACTTGTCTTCAACTCTATCAAGGCTCTGCAAGGTAGGACTTCTGATTCCAGACTAATCAGACGTCTATCCCCCATATGTTAACACCAAAGTGTTAGACATATACAGGAATGATCGCACCACAAAACCCAAGGCATACATAGCCTTGGGGCCCGGACTGAGCATACAAACGACCATCACTGCGATAGACCGTCACGTTCACCGATCAAGGCGCCAATTAGTTGGACAGGTAGTATCGGAGCGCTTTATGCGTATGTTCGAGCCGACTATGATCGACCAAATCAACCTGTTCATCCAACAAATACTTCCATCTGCCCTGAATTCAGCTCCAGTCAACATCACCGAACGATCTAAAAACTTGGGGCTTAACATCGCCGGTCTCCTCGGATTCGGATACGACCTGGGCCTCCAGACAAGCGAGGAGAACAGGTTCATGTTTGACATGCTTCACGCCGGGTCGCTCTGGAGCAGCATCTTTTTGCAGTGGCCCAATGCCCGAAGGTTTCGGCTTGGGTTGATTAGCCTGCGAGTTTTCCGTCAATTGAGAGGGAAGTATCTCTCCGTGGTGGAGAAGATGATCGCTTCTCGCCAAAGACAGGATAAGGACGCTCAGCGTGACCTGTATTCTGTTCTTGCTGACGCACTAGACTCCGAGAACGGTGGTCTGCGACAAAGTGAGCTTTGGGCCGAAGCAAATCTCTTCCTGGTGGCAGGTAAGTCACTATTAACCGGACCTTGCATTAGGTACTGCTCTGTTATCTTTACATTTTAGGTACTAAATCAATTCCGCTAGCTGGTGACACGGCAAAAACAGCACTCTGTGCTGTCTTCTTTTACCTGTCACGTAACGACGACTGCTACAAGAAACTTGCTCATGAGATTCGATCTACATTTACCGTCGGGAGTGAGATCCGAGGTCCAGCTTTGGCCGCCTGTCGTTATCTACGAGCTTGCATTGATGAAGCCCTACGGATGTCCCCGCCTGCGGCCGGAGTACTCTGGAGGGAATCCCTTCACACAGCTGGCGATTTACCTTTCACCGTCGACGGGCACGTCATCCCCGGGGGTACTCTGGTAGGCGTGAATATTTATTCCGTCCATCACATCGCGGAGTATTTCCCCGACCCCTTTACGTATCAACCGGAACGGTGGCTAGATAACACTATGCCCACGGAGAAGAAAAGAATCATGCGCGACGCGTTCGTTCCATTCTCGCTCGGCCCCCGAGGATGCGCAGGCCAGGCTATGGCATATTCGGAGATTTCTCTTGCCGTTGCTAAAACGATGTGGTATTTTGACTTTGAGCGTGCGAAGGGTCGCTTAGGTGAAATAGGAGCTGGAGCACAAGGGGCGGGCGAGGGAAGGGAACAGCCAGGGGAGTTCCAGTTACTTGACAACTTCACCGCAAGTCACGATGGTCCTTATCTAACGTTTCATTGTCGAGAGAACCTATATGAAGATCTAAACAACGCGGAATCAAGAGAGGGCTGAAGATCAATATAGACAGTCGTGAATGCGAATCATATCGGGAGGAATTTCATCAGATTACCAGCTTGTAATGCCTATTACTTTACGTACCTATCTAGTTAGTCGCATGCAATTCTACTTGTAGCTCATTTGCGCCAATTTCAACTGCCACATGCCCAAGTGCCTGGGACCGCTCGTTCATTCTAGTTGAAGCTACCAGGGACCTATACAGGGGGTATATACAGGATATAGCATAGTCCTACATATAACAAGTTCCTATATTGATAAGTAGTACCTTAGATATTCATTCACGCGAACCCTCCAATTGAGAAGCAACCATCTACTGTCGGAAATGTGAAGAAGTGCATAGATGTCAATATATCGGAGGTACATGACTCCTTGGATTTGTAATTATCACGCTGCATTGATTTTGCTTTTCGGGCGTTATTAATGGTTTGGTGTGGCTGCATATACCGTGAGGCTCAGACCATATCACGATTATGGAGGCATTTCACATACCTAGGACTTTGGCAGGACTCCTTACCACTCTGCCACTCCAATCATAGTAACCGCGCAAGTGTAACACCTAGAGGAATGTCAGAAAGGAATTGGTATTACGATATTTCCGCACTGGGTGGCCTGTGTGATAAGGCGGATCAAAGAGACCGGATGGAAAGGACAATCTTTTGCATGACTCTCTACCTAAGGTACTTGAAGATAATACTCCAAAATATCTTTGCATATCCAACACCAAACGCTTCATGACGGCAGACTGCTAACCTCGGAGTACCTATCCTAGGAGACCTTCGAACACCGTCTAGTGGTTTCCCCATGGGATTTTCCCGGCCTTGTCCTCGTGGTGGACGAACACTAGCTTGCGCCCCTTTGAAATTATTCCCTCGCCTATTTTCCTCATCATCCCCTTTTCGCCCCATATCCACGGTATGATATACTCTATCAGGATCCACTCAACCCATGAGCCCCAGGTAATTGCTCGAGCATGATGCACGGCAAGTTCGCTGACCGGTCGCATCTCCTTCTTACATACATCTTCATATTCCATGAATATCCTCGTGATTGCTTCCAAGGTGTCAACACCCTCGCTCCCCTGTGATGCTATGTACAGCTTATTCGCAAGGACAACAGCCGTCTGGAAAGCTGCGTTGAAGTTCAACCCAATGCTGGATGTCATCTGAATCACAGAATCTCCGCACAGAACGATACGTCCGTGATACCAATTTGGGAACAGCCCTTGTGGCTGATAGGCGAGTCTTTTCCAGGTACAGTAGGGCTTGATATCTTTAACCTTGAGCCTGTCTGTGAGGAATGATTCACCTATTTCCTCCATGTAATTGTCAGCGTCTTCGCCCGTAAAAACGTGAGGCTCATCTACAGGCTGATGTAAGCGTTCGAATACGGTGAAATAGGCATGTTCTGGGGAAGATGCGAATTGAGTAGCGAGTCTAGAAGAATGAGACTCCCAGAATACACCATTCAGCACGGCAGGGACAGATTTTGCTGTCCCGTAGATGCATTTATATAGGATTGATGTTGGGTTGCTTTCAATCCTGATTCCATCTGCTACCGCCAGTCGCTGCACTTTAATTGTAACGTCAGCGAAGTAAGTGTAGAGTCAAATTATTAGGTAGATAATCGAAGGGAGATGATAAAGCTTCAGGTCAATACAGAGTACCCAAGGTAGTAGTAGTAAAAAGACCAACTTACTAATATCCCGGGTTTGGCTATGAACACCATCACATCCAATTGCTATTGTCCCAGTCTCAACGGTACCATCCTGTAGGTAAACTCGTACCTCCTTTTCATCCATATTGATGTCCCGAATGGATATAGATGTTTTGATCCTCGCCTTATGCTCCTCGATACCCTCGAGGAGTATCTTAGTCAAGGATGACCGAGAAAATTCCATAACGGGATATCCGTGGCTGGATTCAATTGTTAGCTACCTCCTTGTAGAATGTAGCGGGCTTGGTAGGTCTCTTACTTTTCTTCGATCCAGTCAAAGGCAGGGTCGTTGGAGACTTGCCTACCAAGATGATCAAGACAGATCTTCGACTTCAATAGTATGCGATTTCTATCGCATAGCTCTGTGAGACCAAGCTGGTCGAAAACGCGGGTGGTATGAGGCCAGAGCATAATTCCAGCTCCAGAATCCTTCATTATATCATGATATCGTTCTAGAATAACAAAGTCAAGGCCAGCAGCATTGAATATGTTCGCCAAAGCTAGACCAACTGGCCCAGCTCCGATATTAATAGCACGGAATGGAGCCATGATAAAAGTATAACTTTCAAGTTTGAAATGCCCGAACTTGTTCGTTCGTTCGGGATTTATTATATCTATATCAAGCCAGCTCGTCCGAATCAGGAAATTGTCTTCCCCACTTCCACCGCTTTTTCGAAAATACGTACCGTGCTATTCCGTACATCTCGCTTCGAAAGCTAAAGGGTAGCCGTTCGGTATCGTGGCTAGATAATTCTATTTCCGCTCCGCTCAAGAAGCGCGCCGCATCCGACCACCGTAACGACCACTTGTCTATTGGACGGTGTTTCTTTTCGAAAGTTATATAGCACAAGCTATTATCGTGCAAAATCAAGTGGCATCGCTATTCACTTCGAGCTTAGGCTATATCGGGTTACCTACAGGTATCAGCACCTTACGAGTAGTATTCCATCAGTATCAATAATCATCTATGAACCCGAGTTGCTTCACATAATGAAGAGAGAAATATCCGCAGGCACGCTAAACATTTGCCTATTAACTGATTTATTTTTCAGAAGCTAAATTTTGCTACGGCATAGTTGAACCTGCCGCTATCTGACCATTCAGTCGACCAGGGCTCGAGAATTCCGCCTAGACCTCGCCCTTCTTGAGGCCATGACCTGACTCCTTTCCTGTATATACATAGCCACGCGTAGGCGTCACCTACCCAACGAAATCCCATAATCATTGTACAACGTAAACACTCATAAACCATAAACTCCTCTAAGTCTATGCTGTATTTTCACGAGTCAATTTCCGAGCTAATCCTATCTGAATCTCGCCATCAATACTATTGAGACGTAGTAACGAAGGCGTTGGCCGGTAATTGCGCCTATTGCATCGTCGGTTAGCTTATATTTCGTCCAAGTGATGCGGAATGTGCTTACTCTCTTTTCGTTGAACATAACGAGGGCTTGATCAAAATTCCAGTTGGCCCCGTCCAGACAGAACTTCGAGTATTCCGGTGTCATACCTGTCCGGTTACAAAGCTCAATCACCATTTGTTGCTGTAGGTCTGCGCTTTGCTGAACTATTGGCTGAACTACTGGCTGAACAACTGGCTGGGTTATCGGTTGGACCGCTGGTTGGGCCGCTGGTTCCGTTGTCGAACCAGGTGGCGGGTTGAAAGCCCTAACCGAAAGCATGTCGCTTATGACACGGATAGGATTCCTGCCCGGAGCACCAGGGCCTAGAACGAAAGTACGAGAGAAGCTTCGCTTGGCCGTCTTCATGGTGCCGGGCTCTTGGTCCTCGAATTCTCCATGTATCGTGATAATCATTCCATCTACACCCACTGGGCTTGCACCGGAGGGATCGGGGAGACCGTGGACTGGGTGGCAGTCGACAATATACTTGTTGAATTCTGCCAGTAGATCGGGATGCCGCGTAGGAGGCAATTGTTGCCATGCCCCTTGGATAAGATTTGTCCCGACAAATAAACGCTGTATTCTCGTAGAAGTATGAGTGATCTTGTTGTGATTGCGGGAGAATTTGATATATGCACCCCATCCTGGTGGCTGACTATTCTGAGGGTGCGGAGAACTGTTAATTACGGCGATAGAAAAAGTGCTCTCATTGTCGTAGTACTTAGCCGCTAGATTTTGTCGATCAACGTCGTACATGGACACGAACTCCTTTATAAAGCCTTCGCCGACTCCGTTAATGTCCCGAAAGTCGGCACCATGCTGTGGGATAGGTGTGGGCCGAGCTGCTGCTTCCATTGCAGCCACTTGCTCCGGAGTCCTAACTTGGATGCCGCTAAGATTTTGTAGTCGGGGAAACCAGTTCGTTAGTTCTGCTACGTAATTGGGATTTGCGGCCTCGATGGGATTATCATTCAAGAGAAGAGTTTCGAGCTTCCTGAGGCGATATCGCCATTTTTGAAGACCTTTCAGATCCTTGAATTGGTTTCTGCTCAAGTCCAAGTTGATTAAGTCGGGGAAAGTTTCAGTCAAGGACATGATCTGAAGGACGTCGTCGATGTTGTTGCCCGCGAGGCTGACACTGGCGACAGCGTCTCGCTTTTCTTGGGCTGTCTTGAATAACCCTTCGCAAACTGCCATTAGCGCGCGGAATAGCTTCTCTGGTTTACTCTCCCCGCTAAAGAAACCCATCTGGTTGAGCTTGGCATCTTCACCGAGGGCAGATAGATTTAGTAGCTTCGCGCCGCCGTCGTATCGAAGGCTAAGGACGTTACGAAGCGCGTCTCTTACCTCGAGGGCAGTCGAGGACATATTATTCTGGCTGGCCGGAGGCAAGTCGCCGGGAGCTTCTGTGATAGTAAGGGATGTACCGGCGAATGCGAATCCATTCAACTTGAGAATGTCTTCCCCATCTTCCTTGCTTGCTGTGATGTATACGAAGTCACCATTGATGGATGACTGCTAGACGTTAGCAAGGCGATGAAACCTTGATAATGCTCTAGGAATCCGGGATAGGTATGCGGCTGAGTTTAAAGATTGTCTCTCCTCGTTTTTGCGAGCTATATGGCATGATAACGAATGCGGAGAATTTGTATCGCTCCGTAACCCCCCAGATCCCGGGACGGAATGCTATCACATACCTTCTTAATCCTTATGCTTCGTGCGGTCTTCGAGACGGTCTGAGCTTTTCGTTCCAGGAAGGTCAGCAACTCCTTGAGTCCACCTCCTTCGTTGCTGGCAGCCTTGCTGGATTTAAGACCCTGAACTTGGAGTGTCATCGTATTCGGCGCGTTGACTGGGCGGGTGCTTTTAAAGACCTTAGCAGCCCCAGACATTCCGTTGGCGATGCGGGAAGAAAGGCTTCCACCTGTTCCGTTGAAAACCCGTTGTATGATTTGCTGCGTCTTCGCATTTGGTCTCGGCGCGCGGGATACGTTGGGTGCCGATCGCGTAGATCGAGCCGCTGCAGTAGGATCGTTCGGTTCGGCGCGCTTAGTCTTCCGAGAGTTGCGGTTGGCGGCGCTAGGTGCATCCATATCGAGGTCACCATCTTTGTCCACTCTGCCTGTAGTATTGCCGCGACGCTTCGATATCCCACCTCTAGAAGCGGCCTTTGCACCATTCGCTGCGCCTCGGCTGTTACGTGGGCCAGTAGGGGCAGATCCCTTTCGTGGGCCGGAGGGTGCCATTGTTTATATGAATAGCGAGTGAGAGCCGCGAAAACTTTACGTAGTTCAGAAGCGACGATAGGTGTAAAGACTGCTCTGATAGAGGGGCGAAAACGTGGGCTGAGATGATTCGGAGGTAATAATTATAAAAGGGTGTGAAAAGCCGTCAATAGTTGACGGTCTTTCAAGCAAGGCTGGCAGACCATGAATTGCAAAGGGACGGACAACGGAACCAGGAAAAAAAAAAGGTTGCTATTAGTTGCGAAAAGATGTCAACCAATCCGAGGCAAATCAAGAGATTGATTGAAGTGAAAAGCAGATAGGCCTTTTCCTCGTGGTATTTTTTCAGAGAAAATGGTATGCAAGGGCTATCTATTAGGACCGCTGCATCACTTGGAATAAAGGAAGAGAAAGATGAAAAAATGGATGTGTAGAGGTGAAGAAGGCTGTGACGTCGGAACAAAGGTAGAGAAATTAAGACAACTTTTGAATGAATGTACCAGTTGTTGATTCCTAGGCTACCTTAGGTACCTAGGTAGCAGGCTAGCAGGCAGAAAAGGTGCACAGACCATGAAATAAGAACATTATGACTGATAATGTTGAGTTTGACTCAGCGGGTTGCTTCAGCCACTTGATTCTTTTTTTTTTTTTTTTCGATAATGATTGAACGCAGTAATGGGTACTTAGGTACATACATAACCTAGGTACCTGTACGAAGTACATATGTACTATGTACTTTATCAGCACAACCAGCCACAATACTCACATGACTTCGCGACAATTTCTACGCTAACCATTTCATAGTCGCTCGCCATTACACTTACATTAACGCGTCTAAGCCTGCACATCAGCCCCGAAACGCATTACCTGATAACTAAACTTTCCAACAAAGGACCTATTACAAAGAATCTACTTAAGGCATAAGTTAGGTACCTACCTTCCTATTAAAGGAAACACCTCCAGTCAGCCTTGGGCTAAGTCACCTTAGTTATGTGACAAATAACTAGGAAGATTTAAACTATGGATTCGGATGAATTTGATGACGATATTGCCGACGAAGATCTGATCATCGCTGCTACTCAGGTACCGGCTTCAAGTCATAATCAACCTGCCAAGTTCAATCAAGGCCGATTCCAACCTCACGTCCAACGGCCACCAGCTTCAGGGAATAATAGCAATGCCAACTCAGTTCACACAAGTTCACTGGTACGAGTTTTCTCTATTTTGCATTCTTCCTGCACGTGACCACGGATCAATGTTGGGGATGACCCCCTGGTTATATACCTACCTATATTACTATGTACAGGCATGGCGGTTATGATAGTTGTTTTGTTCCACAGCATGTAGTCACCGTATCTCAAAAAGCCACGGCTGATATATGATTTAGCAACGCCTAAATTCCAACGGGCAATCTTTTATTGACCTCGACGACCTGCCTTCAGATGCATTCTCAAGTCCGCTGGGAAATCCACAGTCTTCTTCTCAGAGGGCAGCAGTAGGCTTTCTGCAACCGCAGCGTATTGGTGACCCAGTTCCTACATATCGACAGACCACTTTATTTGGTCAAACCATCCAACGAGATCCAGGCCCCGGATCTTCCCAGTCTAACAGGAATCGAGCATTCCGTGTAGATTTACCCCCTGAGCCGCCAACTCATCATGAACTAGACTTGGAAGCCCTGAAAACCTGGGTTTATCCTACAAATCTGGGACCCACCCGAGACTATCAGTTCAGTATTGTTAAGAATGGCTTGTTCAATAACACTCTTGTCGCCCTTCCCACGGGATTGGGCAAAACCTTTATTGCAGCTACCATCATGTTGAACTACTTTCGCTGGATGAAGAAAGCGAAGATCGTATTTGTCGCCCCTACCAAGCCGCTTGTATCTCAGCAGATCGACGCCTGTTTCCATATTGCCGGCATTCCGAGATCGCAGACAACCTTGCTCACGGGAGAAATATCGCCAGGCCTCCGAGCAGAAGAGTGGGAGTCTAGAAGAGTTTTTTTCATGACTCCGCAAACATTGGAGAATGATCTGTCTTCAGGGTTTGCAGACCCCAAATCAATCGGTCTCCTGGTAGTAGATGAAGCCCATAGGGCTACGGGGAATTACTCCTACGTAAAAGTTGTCAACTTTTTAAGACGATTTACTAGCAGCTTTCGCATCCTGGCCCTGACGGCAACTCCTGGATCCAAGGTCGAGTCGGTACAGGATGTCATCGACAGCCTCGGCATTTCACACGTGGAGATTCGCACTGAGGAGTCCATTGATATCCGCCCATATGTTCACCAGAGAGATGAAGATATTGTTTTGCTAGATCCATCAGACGAGATGATTTTAATCAGAGACCTATTCTCAAAAGCCCTGAAGCCGCTCGTGGACAAACTAAGTCAGCAGAATATTTACTATGGTCGTGATCCGATGAATCTCACCGTATACGGACTCCTCCAAGCCAGAAAAGAGTGGATGGCTCGTGCTGGGCAGCATGTCAACCAAGGGGTAAAATTTATGACGCTGGCGATCTTCGCTGTTTTAACGAGTCTGGCCCACGGTATCAAACTACTAAATTTTCACGGCATCAATCCATTTTATGACAGCCTGGTCCAATTTAGAGATGAAACAGAAGGAAAGGGTGAGAAGGGTTCTAAATATAAGAAACAGCTTATCGAATCTCCCAGTTTTCAGGAAATGATGGATAAAATCGCCAGCTGGTCGAAGAAGGACGGTTTCGTCAGCCACCCAAAACTGACATATCTGTCCGACACAGTCTTAAACCACTTTATGGATGCGGGCGAGGGCCGAGAAGGCGGTTCTACGAATACGAGAATCATAGTCTTTAGTGAATATCGCGACAGCGCCGAGGAAATCGTACGGGTTCTTAATATTCACAAGCCACTTATTCGTGCCGCAGTATTCGTTGGACAAGCAGACTCCAAACGATCGGGAGGTATGAAACAGTCCGAGCAGATTGAACGAATACGGAAATTCAAAGAGGGCGAATTCAATGTCCTTGTCGCCACCTCGATCGGTGAGGAAGGACTCGATATCGGCCAAGTGGATCTGATTGTATGCTACGATGCATCCGCCTCGCCGATTCGGATGCTTCAGAGAATGGGGCGAACTGGAAGAAAACGTGCCGGACGTGTTGTTTTACTACTAATGCGAGGCAAAGAGGAAGATAACTACGCAAAATCGAAGGACGGCTACGAAAAGATGCAGGTCATGATATGCGACGGAAGCCGCTTCAACTTCCGTCATGATCTCTCAGCCAGAATCATTCCGAAAGACATCCGACCAGAAGTCGACATGAGGGCTGTGGAGATTCCCGTTGAGAACACACAAGTCGAAGGCCTTCCCGAGCCCAAGAAAGGAAAGGCAAAGAAGAAAAAGCCACCAAAGAAATTCCATATGCCTGACGGAGTCGAGACTGGCTTCAAGAGTGTTGCTGCATTATTGGGAAAGCAGCCAGAACCCAAAAAGCCAAAAGAAGTCCCTCTACCTGTCGAAGAGGACGTGATTGCCGATATACCAGCTCTGGATCGGATTCTACTCAACAAGAGCCAGACCGAAGAGTTACGTAAGAAATACAAGAGCTTCTCATACCACCGAGAGCCGATGGAGGACATCGAGCAGGTGGATTTAAGCGCGAATCCTGCGGCGCAAAGGACACTACGGAAGACAGTACATGTGAAGCATGGGGCGTACACGAAGCGTTGTGTTAAATTGTTCGAGAAATTAGCAAAATTGCAATCCCCTTCAGACCGCTTCAATAAGCCGTACAATGAAGCAGATGCGCGTCGTTACCGTCAACTTCCGCTTCCAAGCTATGGGCCTGATTCAGACCGCGACACGACAGACGAGCCGGCACGTAAAAAGAGAAAGATGACACCGCCAACCCTAGAGGAAGATTCCGAAATTGAGGAGCTGTCAACGGCTCCGTCTCGCCCGCCGCGATCTAAGAAGGCCTCCGCGCCGGCGAAAAAGAAGAAAGCCCCGGCTCGAGCACATTCCCCACAGGAAGCCAACGACAGCGAAGAAATAGAACAACTTCCACCGCCCCCGAAGAGACGTACTACTAACCCAAAAGCAAAAGCAAAAGCAAAAGCGTCTGCTCCACGACAACCACGTGGCCGGCCTAAGAAGAATTCAAAGGTTGCAGCAGTTTACGACGAGAGCGCCGACGAAGGCGACGACTGCCGGCGCACCAGCGACCTGGATCTGACAGACGACTCGGACAACGGGTCCGACCTGGCGGGCTTCGTCGTCGCGGACGAGATGGCAACGTCAAGCGCAATTCCAACGTCTTCCCTACCACGCCGAGGCCGGCGATCGACATCGCCCACGTCGCCGTCTACACCATCTACTATCGGCGGCCGCGCCGCGAAACAACAGCGACAGCAACAGAAGGAGTCGGTGTACTACGAGCCGACGCGCTTCGACCCTACGCAAGATAGCGCCGACGAAGATGACGGGATGCCATCTCTGAGCCAGCTCGTGGGACAGAAGAAACGGGCTTCGGAGAAATCTGCTGCTCGCAGGGGTTCGGGGAGCGAGGACGAGGATGATGATATCCCCGTTCGGAAGCGCGCGCGTGCTGCTGGAAAGGAGGCGAAGAAGAATGAGAGGAGAGCTGGGCCATTTATTCTTGACGACGACGACGATGACGATGACGATGACGATGACGATTATTATTAGGGAAAACTACGGGTTATTAATGAATAAACGCTACACATACATGCGTCTTTATCTCTCTGCGCGTTCTTATATTCTTTTTCTTCCTCTTCTTGTCCTATCTTGTTTCGCCTGTTGTAGTATGTAGGAAAGACACGATTATCCTGTTGACCCGTACGTTGTTGATTTACTATCTGTACTTGCATACCTTCTATTACTTAGGTCCTTATAGTTAGTATCCTTCTTGTCGTACACCTAGCACAACTAATGATACATGCTGAAGCTTGAACGAATATCAAGCCCCTTTTAGCAAGCAAGTACAGTAAAAACCGTATAACTTGACCTACCATATCCCACCCACGTACGCCGTGATAATTTAGCACGGAATTCTGCTAATGCCAAAACTAAAGCTGAGCTATAATATAGTAGCTGCTATGTAGTGTATTAACGATGTTTTTCTTATGTAATTACGATTATTTAAAGGCCTTTATATATATACCATTTTCTTACTTTTTTTGCTTTTTTTTGTTTTTAAGTATACCGTTAATATATTTGCTTTAATTTGTACTTGAGTAATAATTATTACTTTTTTTTTATTATAATAACTATTTATTACAATTACCTTTTGCTTACCCCCTTTTTCCTAATTAGTTTTTTTAATAAACAAATTTCTTTTTTAACCCTAACCCCTTCGAGGCTATATATATGTGCTTAACCAAGATAATTTTGTTTTGTACCGCGAGGTACCGCCCATGACTGCCGAGTTGGCGTTGCTCGTAAATATACCTAAATGTGACGAACCTACACTCAGGTCCGTGAGAGTGTAGTGCCGATGGGTCTTGATTTTCAGGTAAACAGTAACGATACGAGTCAAGTGTCAAATAAACGTTGAAGTGTTCGTCAGGAAGGCTTGGAGTCCTTCCTCTTATATGGGTTAGATATAAGACTTAGATTGATAGCTAATGAGCTTGAAAATGAATGATTAGATACATGAGAAACGTTCGATAGTTATATGAAATGCCTCTTCTACTTCCTGTTGCTATCGTTCATAGCATTTCTATGTGATCTGGTTGATCTGGTCAAGATCACACAAGATCACACAAGATCACCCAGATCACTACCCTCCATGAGGTTATTCCGAGATTTATCCGTACCAAGGGATATTGAGACCCCGCTCCAGGCCTGAACGTGATCTCCTCGGCTGTTGGTTCGTAACACTAAATTTGTAACTTCGAGCTTATTTCCTTTTCCTACTTCTTGCAATCCTTAAATGATTGTGCAGATATAATATTACCATATTTAGAGGCGCGAAACGTAAGGGAACTTTTTATCTCTGTCGCTTGCCGGACCCCAAATCAGCTCAAAAACGTTCCGCCGCCATAACAGCCCTTTTTTATACCTTGTAAGCATGTTCGCTAGCTACTATGTTGGTTTATCCCATTCCGCAAGTGCTTGCTTGCTACCAGGTGAAGTAAGTATGTATATGTAGCAGCGAATTGAAGAGGATAAATATTAGAAACTTCGCGCGATTCCCACACGCTATGACTATACTTACCTAACTTACCCTACCATTAAGCAACGAGCTTTTCTTTTTCCAAAGCGCTAATAGGAAAAAGTTAACCTGTTGTGTTTTACATCCTTACACGACCTTATCTCCGCCATATTATACTCCTTTCTAGACGGGAACAGTATTTTCGACAATGATCTCCCTCCTCTACCTACTCCTCACAAAGAAAGAAACATGCAGATGAGATGCATATTTAATGCGAGCAAGGCGAGAGTATGCGGGTGAATTTAGGATGTTGAAAATGGGCTAGAAGTTTAACTCATCTCGGAAGCAGAAGCTTTCTTTCCCAATCAACAACCGCCGAAGGAAAAACAAGGCAAAGCCGTGTTAGGTAAGAAAGAAAGAGTACGAGGAAACTGGAGGCCGTTCCTATAGATATACGGACGTTGCCTACCTATCTATCACTTTTTTCCTAGCTACCTAACCTTGGTACCTAGTATCTAAGTCGTACTTTAAAAAGCTTTGCTCCCGGGAGGGAATACCCGAGATGAAGTCCTGTAAACACGACATATTAAGGGTTGTTATAGAGGAGTTTGGTACTATAAGAAGACGCGTACCTAATCTAAGAAAGCTCTACTTATGGAAGGGAGATATAATGGTTACATAGAGTACTCTCGTGTCATGAGAAGATATGGCGCCGATATGCTGAACGCGGATTCATCTCCAGCGTCCGGCAGTACCTAGTTATTAATAGTCCCCCTTAAGTACCAAGTAGGTACGAAACCCAAATCATTCATAGTGTTAAGTAACCGTATAGACCGCGACCTACATCGGTAAGTCCAGCATAATTAACCGCCGACATAGGAGATACATAGGTAGCCTCTTGTTAGTCAGGTCGATCCGGCGCAAGTCTTTCTAATGTCTTTTCAACTCGCTCTAAACAGTGCAGAAAGTTGGCATAAACCCAGAATGTAGTGCTTGGAATCAAGTACACATACAGTACCTACCTACCATTTTTATGCGGCAAACATAGCATTATGGTAAGAAACTTGTTAAATCACTCCCCCGCTACTTAAAAACCATACATTTCGTAAAAGCTCAATGTACTAAATACTAGTACTCCAAAGCTTTAAATTATTTAAATCATTTTTTATTTTTATTTTCTTTCAAAATTCGAATTATAATGAATTCTTGAGAATAGGTGATCATTATGGTGGTTTAGTGGGGTTGTGGAGGATGCCGCATAGGTATTTGGAGCATCTAAGATGCTCCAAATAATTTTCAGGAAAAAACAAAAAAAGTTCTAATCCTAACCCTCACAACTCCATCTAAGTTAAACAGGGTCCAAAGCGCAAGCGCCTTTACTCCCCTTTGAAAAATCACGAACGAGATAATATAACGACGCATGAGATATCAACCCATTTTACTGTAAAATATCGCTTCCATAGTTTAAATTAAATCGACGATATATATAACTAACTCATGCCAGCTCGAACTCTGTCCACCATCTCATCGCTTCCAAGAACTAAAAGAAAACCAAATAAATAGATAGAAAAGCATATCAACTCCCCCCTTCAACTCCCACCAGGTATAAAAAACAGATGCACATGGATGACTTCGATATATCTCCGTCTCACCCAGCACTAGAACACAACAAGAGGAAAAGAAAAGGTAGGTTCAAACAAAATGCCTATGACATGGTCCAACTGTCTGTGTCCCAGCGTCGTTATTCTACTCCTGCAGGCCTCCAACAAACAACGACCCAAATTGCTCGACCGCTAGGGGGAAAAAAAACAATAATAATTGCACATGGTGGGTGTTCGTGAACCGCGGGTCATCGATTCGTAACACGTCGTCAATACGCCCTCCAATCCATCGTCTTTCTCGCATCTCAAATTCAAAAGAAGCTTACCGGATAACATATATCATGTCCGGTTTTCATGCGTTTGGGTAGCTAGTGTTCCAAGCAACAAAACGCTCTTCGGCTCAAGCAGCTACGCTTTTGCCTATTGCGCTGCCCCAGTGGAATCTTCTTAGAGTACCCCCGCCGCCCTTGATCACGTCTCTTCCGCAGCTGCTTCCGTTCGCCACCGCGCTGGCGTTAGACCCCAGGCTGCCTAGCGTCTCCTGGCGGCCAACTTCCCTCCCGATTACGTAGCCGGCTCCGAAGCCGACGACGGAGACGAGAACTACAACGCCGGCATTCACAACCCACGTGAGGAGCGTCGGGCTAATGAGAGTATCCTCGCCAGAAGCCACACCCGTCCTCTTCTTCTTAGTTGCCCGCGGGGATTTTGTAGGGGGTGTGGGTGTGGCCGTTCGTTTGATCTTTTCGCCTGCTGATTCGCGAGCTGTAGCCGCGGGAGGAGTTGTTCTAGAAGATTGGCTAGGTCGGGCTTGGGCCGGCGGTGGTGGGCCCGCCATTAGTTCGCTTTCGGGAACGAAGCGCAGCTCCACCGGTTGGTTCCCAGCAGCTGCAGGAGAACGCTCATCCACTTGCTTTTCGCCGTCCTTGGTTCGCTTACCCGCTGCAGCTGCACAGCTAAGTAGGGTGGTCAAACTAGCACGCAGGGCTGCATCATTATCAGCCTGGTAGTTCGGAGACATAAAATTAGGGGTGCGACGGTCGACGCGAGTTTGGGATCGCTGGCCAAAAGATGGCCTATTATGTTGAGGAATAGTTGAGCTTGTCGAGTGCCGGTGGGTCAGATGCGAAGGCGGGTGAGTGAATGCATTCGGTTGAGGTTGAAATGGTTCCGAAGGTCGTTGAGCCAGCGCAGTAGCGCGATCATCATCATCGTCGTCGTCGCTCGAGTCATCTTCAACAGGCTGAGCCGAACGTCGCAGAGAAGCGGTTCCAGCACGTTGAGGGGAAGCAATATTCTCGACAGAGCTGGTTAAAACTCGGTCGTCCTCGCTCTCGCTTTCTTCGTACTCTTCTTGGCTGCTATTCGCACCAGCCTGACCGGCCTGGGCGGCCTGGGCGGCAACAAAAGTGGGCTGTCGAGAGTCGGGTCGGGGATAATACTGCGGATGTAAACGTCGTCGTCTTCGAGAGTTGTAAGAGGAGCCCACTTGTAGCCCTGTAGTGACAATCTCGTCGCCGATGGATGAGACAGATGACGAGGAAGGATGCGAGGCCACCTCAATCCAAGATTCTAAGATGGTGAGGTTTGGTTCATAACTGTGGAATAGGTTAGGCTCACCATCGTTTCGCTGGCGCCGTTGGCCAGATGCAGGCCGCATTGCAGCGGAATTAGCGACCCGTTGAGAGTCGTTGCTACGTTGCCAGCTGTGCCCCGACATCTCGTCTAGAAAGGAGAAGGAAAAAAAAGACCACGATGGCGATAGCTTAGGGAAGATGAACCAAAAATACAATAAATAAATAAAAAGGTAATAAGATGACACCCTGGATGGATTTACTTGGATAAGCCCAGATTAGGTACCTAATGTAGAGATGCCGGGTAGCGACAGTGATTAGGCAGATGGTCCGAAAGCAACGGTTTATTGACAGGTACTAACAAAAACGGGCGTTGTTCACCGACGGTCGGCGATAGGCTTAACCTAGGAGGCTTGGAAATTCTTTGAGAGGCTTCGGGGGGGTTTTGGGGGGAGGTTTGGGGGCACCGAGCTGTCTGTCGTCTCCAACAAGACAGCCAGCAAAAGTGAATGCCCCGCGCTCACTGAAGCAGGGATCCGCTGATCAATGTTAGTTCATTCGTGCCAGGTTATTGTATTGTACTGTGGTATCGTATGTATTATGTATTATACAATGCATGCATAGAAAGCACTTATTGTATTATGAATGAATAATAAGTTGTATTGTATAATGTATATCGTATCGTAGGGATTGCACACGTATGCACGTACTCTCTCAAAGTTGGAAATACGGTAAAGGAATCGAATCAACTTGAAGCAAGGAATTTAAAATCGACCAAGAGATGATGAATCTGGGTTCATAATAGGATGGTCGAACGCGTGGGATGTTTTTCTAAAACGGATGATACTTCAAGGTATCTTAGTACCAGATATTATAAGGCGGAAAGGAGGGTTTATTAGTCGAGGTCACACGGTGAAAGGTACGAGTCGAGAAACAAGTGATAGGATGATAACAAGAAGAAAAAAAAATGACAAGATGGGAAAGTTTCCTTGACGAGTCCGTCTTTGTTTTCGAAAATGTTACAACTCCCCCTTTTTTCTGCCTTATTGCCTGAAGAACAGAATAGAGTCCCGGACAAGCATATCTTAAGTCCGCTATCGCAGTTCTTTGCCAAGTTTACCTGGTATGGAAAGGGAACGGGATTCTGGCGGGGTGGTTAAATAATTCCTCTTGAATGGTGAAAAAGGGAGGCTTTTTTGTCATTGCTGATGACGATCTCTCTCTTGACCTAGGTACTCGACCCCTAGTACGGTACAAAAAGGCACAAAGTTACATACTGCCGAATTAGCAGCAGCATCTAAGCCTATTTGAATACCTAGCGCTAGCGTCTTGGCAGATCTCGCCGATAACGTACGCGTCAAAATACATAAAACAAGATGAGACCCACTTGTTTAATCATTCGGAGCATTACTGATGTTCTTCGAGTTCCCAGCAATTGTGCGACAGAGATCATCCGATATACAACATCTGACTAAGTACATAATAGTCAACTACCTATCTGCCAACTAAACTCTTTAAGGAGCGTTACATCATCAGAGATCATGGGTTGGGGCAGGTCTGGTAGTGTAATTCCAGTCACCAGCCCCACCTGGAAAAGCTGCAGGTGGTCGTAAATGTGCACATAGTCTTATGCTACCTACTGGATGTTACTACCTAAGGAGGTAAACATGCTCATACGACACCTACGCATCGCACTATTCAAGACAATTAAGGTTCCTTTATGCCTAATATGATATAAAAAGAAATAGGTAATTAAATAACAGATACATATATGATGCTTAACATTTAAATACCTAGGTATATACACACTTAGATAATAGAAACAAAATTAATGATTACCTTAGTTAGGTACCTAGTTAGGTACCTACGACTATAGCTAATACCTGGGTATAATCACATCATCTAAACTAACTATTAAACTCTTCCGTTAACGTCAGCTCTAATATTACCTCTCATATACCTACCTCAAGGCCTAATTTGAATAGGTACGGTACCTTAGGTAGTTTCTCCTAAGCTAATAAGATCAATAACCCCAGCTTAGAAAAGTGATAATACGCTAATAACAGTACTAGATAACCCAAATTCAATATCCTATAACAAACACTTACTAAGTATCCTCTTATACATGTAATAGGTTGACATTCATGCTATACCTACCGAATATGGTCATAAGACTTCTCTTGGTGAGATTATTGTTGTTCTATTAGGATTGTTTATGTCAAAACTATCTGTATTCCCGAGAATCATCATCACGACCACCTCCTGATCTATCTCCAGAATCCTACCAATAGCCTTCCACAACTTGATAAGCAGTGGCGCAGTTCTTCCTCTATCATCAATTGTGTGGCCGGCGATTGGCTCGTATAATAAGGAAAAGAACTAAACCAATACGTGGTTTGTCAGTTCCCTCAAGTGTGATTCCTATTCCATATTTGTAGAGGATATTCTTAAATTCCTCATCAATACAGCAATCCAATTCATACCATACCATTCCCTATCATATTGCTGACAGATAGAACGTTGTTTGTTGGGTTCGTCCTTGCGGTTCGTCGCAGATACGAACGACGCCCACAAGTATCCAAATGGCACCACCATCTTCATGAATCCGAACAGACCAGGAGAATACAAGACGTTTCATAATGTCATCTCACAGTTCGCAGATGTCTTCGAAGACAAAGGTCTTGCTTCTGTCCCAAACGACGAGATTGAACATGCCAATGGACCAAGGTTATAGAGGCTATCACGTCACAGACGACAGTGCTGTTTAACTCATCAACGGCCTCCAAATGCCCTTTGGCGGTAGTGATGGTCAGGATCCATCTGGTTGCTGGGTGAACGCGCCACGGATAGCGGAGGTGACCTCCCCGCTGATAGCAGAAGGACAGGGCGTCCAAAACCGTATTCTACGGTTTTCCTTGGCAGTTGGCGAGCATAGACTCTTGGCTCTTCATTGGATACTTATCGTCCAATACCATTTGGTTGACGACTCGGCTCTCGCAACGTCATGCCGGTCCAGCGCTGGTTTGGTTCGAGATGGGCGACTGACGTACATTCGGAATTTATAAGGTCATCGTATGTATTAACGAGACCGAAATTGCTAGCACCGGAGACTTTGTGGACGTGGGCTGAAGCAACTGCGGGGGAACACAGGGTGTCGTGTCCATGGCGCTGACAAAATATAGGTAGGTAGGTATTGATTAACCTAGAGGGCCAATCTCGTCATGGGCTATGGCATAGGTGGGAGAGGGTCATAGTGATCTTTTCAGATCGGCAGCTAAAATGTAGCATGGAAAAGAACATGACACTATCCCATCTGTGTCACAGCCCCTGTGTAGTAGAGACTTCTGCGAAGTGTCTGCAAGGAGTATCTGCCAAAATTGTCGTAGCAGTTTCACCATTTTCTGCGTTGATATGTACCTATCACCAAGTTTGCAGCTCATTAGGTGCCGTCCTTGTTACAGTATCCGAATCCCAGCCGTCATAGAAGGAAATGGATGGTAAACCTTGTACTTACCACAAAGTCGATCAGTCATCTCTGGTGCTGCGTTGATTCCGGGTGGCAATTCAACAGACGAAATGTAAATAGTTGGTAGATAAGGTGGGCAACAATCACTTCGTTGTCTCAACGGCTATAGTGTAGAGAATAGGTTGGGAACCCAAGTCAAAGGGGATTTGTAAGTCGGCTCCTGACGATGGGGAGGTCGAGATATAGAATTTGGGGATAGGAGCATTGCGTAGTGTACTGAAGTTTGCAATAGGTAAGATGAGATTAGAGGTAAATAAAAAATAAAATAATAGTTTGGTAGGAGGAAGAGTTAGAATTTAAGAAAACCTATGTGAAAGTGTTAGGGTTGAAAAAGAAATAGGTCGAGTTGCGTCGTGGAAGGAAGAGCTGGAAGTGAAAGGCAACAACAATTGGATAATCGGCCTTTCTTCTATGTTCCCCAAAGTTTAAATTAAGTTGTCGATCTAACGATTAGAACAGGTAACAGGTACCTCAATTAGAGAAGAAGAAACTGAAGGTGCAGGTGTGCTTAGACTACGAGAAAGAGAGGTTAAGATGTGCCTGGGCAACTGCCTAAGACTCAATAACTTAACAAAGTAAAGACCAGATTAAGCAAACCAACTCGATAGAACGTGCGATCACTTGATAAAGAAGGAGGATTATGATATCGACTTAACATGCTGGGAAGTAGGAATCTATTCTTTACCTTTTTCTAGATACCTACCACCGGTGCCTTGACAGGCACCCGCCTTAGATATGAGGTCTTTTCAAACGGCTTCTCATTAACGGTAGTTACAACGTTTTACGTTATTAGTGCTGGTGAAAGACTAAATACTCGGAAGGGTTATTCGTCGCAAATAATACCTAAACTAAGTTTTTATAACTAGGTGTATAGTTGTATAGTTGAATATTACGATCTTAAATGGACGGAGCTGGTTTAAACGTTAGGTAGAGATAAACTCTTATAGCTTAGGTACTCACTGAGGTTGGTCTGAAAGCGACGTGTTCAATGAGTGTATTTAACTAGACTGATTACTACAAGCGACTAGGGAGGTGTCACATTCGCAAGAAGACTAATGTATGCATGAACTGGTGTAATTATTTCACTATTCTACCGAAGTTACGGGGGGTAGTGACTATGAAGCTTGTGAAACGCACAAGGCAGGGTATACTCACCGAGATCTGACTTGAATCAGAATGTTGAGAATAGTCGTAAAAGAAACCGTAAAGTCATTCGCAACCGAAAGAGAAAAAACTTTTTTTGATGCCCTCGAACGCCGTCATAAAGCCCTCGTAGTCACGAAACTTGATCCCCTTCAAGATGCCGGAGACGTTGTCTCCAGCACAAGAAGGTCCAAACCTACTTCGTTGACTGAAAAGCCCTCAGAGCCCACAGAAGGAAAAGCCGACTTAATGAAAAACTGAAATACGTGGATGCGAATAGCATCAGCACAGTCGTCTGTGCTTTCAGTCAAAAGCCCTCGAACCCTCAAGCCCTCAGAACCCACATGGAGGTTTCCCTCCGATCAAGCCCACAGGTGTATCGCAGCTTCTAATAGAAGCTTAGCCCTCAAAGCCCACAACTCCAAAGGAGTATATAGTTTCGAAGAAGCCGACCAACCCACAAAGCCAACCGTCATGTGTGTCAAAGAACCCTCAGAATAGAGTCTAGTGCAGCTGCATCACTTTAAAAAGTGGTCTTCTTGCCCTGGAACGAAGCACCACCTCGGGAGCCACCAAAGCCTCCGCGTCCGCCACCGCGACCACCGAAGCCACCGCCACCACGGCCGCCAAAACCACCACGGCCACCACCACGGCCACCTCCTCGGCCACCACCGCCGCGACCACCAAAGCCGCCGCCACCACGGCCGCCCGAGCCACCTTCACGGGGCGGGCGCTGACCAGCAAAGTCAAGACGGATGGGACGGGCACCACGGCCCTCACCAATGTAAGAACCATTCTGGGTGTTGAATACGCTCTTGGCATCCTCGACCGAGTTGAAGGTCACGTAGCCGAAGCCCTTGCGGTTGCCCGAGTCACTGACATAGAATTAGTATTAAGGCGCGTATAAAAAATTTGTTCAAGTACTTACGGGTCAGTAGGAAGTCGAACACTCTTGACTTCGGCGACCTCGCCGAAGAAAGCAGTAACCATCTCCTCATCAGCATCGAACGGGAGGTTGCCAACGAATAAGGTGTCGCTCTCCGGGCTGACAACGTCGCCGTGTTGCTTGGCGCGGTCGGCAGCACGAGAGTTGGTGTTTGCGTCCTCAGCGGGACGGGGCTTAGAGGGGTCTAGTCTCATGGGACGGTTGTCGAGCTCAACACCGTTCATCTTTTCGAAGGCAGCCTGGGCAGCTTCGGGGGTTGCGAAGTCGACGTAGCCGAAGCCACGAGAACGTTGCATAGCCTTGTCGGTAACAACGCGGGCGTTGGTAAGATCGGCGCAGTCCTTGAATGCATCGTATAGCCTCTCATCGTCCACACTCCAGCCGAGGTTTCCGACGAAGAGAGTAGAGCTCTGCTCCTCGGAGTTCTCGTTTGTCTTGGTCTTCTTGACGGGTGCCTCCTCTTCGTCTTCGGCCTTGCGCTTCTTGGGCTGCTCGGGCTTCTTTTCCTCAGCCTCAGACTCAGCGTCGCTAGAATCATCCGAGTCATCGGAATCCTCCTTGGCATCGGAAGAGTCGGAGTCGGAGGAATCTTTAGCCGATGACTTGAATTTACGTTAGCAGGCTATAACGAGATATTATCTTTCAAGGATAGACATACCTCTTTCTTGGCCTTGGCCTTGTCGTCAGCAGCAGGCTTAGCAGCAGGCTTAGCGTCGGCAGCTTCCTCGCTGTCGGAATCGGACGAGTCCTCAGACTCAGACTCGGACTCGGACTTGGCGGCCTTGGCCTTAGCCTTACCGTTGGTCTTGCCATTGGTCTTTGCCTTGGCGGCAGGCTTCTCCTCCTCAGACTCGGAAGCAGAGTCGTCAGAGTCAGAGCCAGACTCGGAGTCCTCAGCTTCGGATTCAGAGTCGTTGGAGTCAGAGCCAGACTCGGAGTCCTCAGACTCAGACTCGGACTCAGATTCGGATTCAGACTCGACCTTCTTCTTCTTGAGGTCCTTGCCCTTCACAGACTTCGCAGCCTTAGTAGCGACATCCTTAGCAATCTGCTTGGACTTTGCCTTGGGGCTTTCGGTGGCCTTGGTAACGCCGGCGTTCTTGACAGCGCTGAGGGGTTTGGCAGCCTTGGCGGCTTTGCCGTTTGCTTGCTTGACCTTGCCCATTGTTGAAGCAAAGTACGAGAATTGAGTTATTTGATTATGGTAGTCTTGTTGGAGGTGTGTAATTGGAATGGAAGAGAAAGGATTGTTGGAAAAAAGAATGAGTTGAAAAGTGCGAGGAGCTGTATTATATCCTGCGCGAGAAGGCGACTAGAGGTTGGTAGCTTCGAAAAAAAAATTTCAAAAAATTTCGAGGGACCTGGACCCTAGAGAAAATTTCATTCTGCCAGTGGGGGAGGCCGGGGCGGTAACGCCTAGCGCGGTTGATAGCACGGGCCCACAATGCACATTTATTCACGCTAATTCACAGAAGTTGGCACTGTACGTTTGTACGTTTGTACTTTTTGTACTCGAGTTTTAGCTTGGTACTTAGGTACTTAAGATAGCTCTAAAAACAAGTCACGTGATAACACCGTGTGGCTACCCGGAATTGCTTTGAATGCTTACTTGGTCGAAGCTCCATTACGAAATAACGGAGACTTACATAGTATCATTAGAGAGATCTCAACCATCTCAACCGCACGCGAGGGTGTCAAAACATCACAACTTGGAGAGCTTCGCCCGCCCCTTAAGCGCTTAAGCCCCGATCGAACTTCCTGGGTCTCTACCATAACCGAAAATGCCGACCCCCGAATCCGAAGCTTTCCTGGCGAAGAAGCCATCCGTCCCTCCCACCTTCGACGGCGTCGACTACGATGACAACAGGCGATTGAAGCAGGCGCAAGATGCTGTCGTCCGAGAGCAGTGGGTGCAGGTTATGATGGGACGATTAGTCCGGGAAGAGCTGAGCAAATGCTACTACCGAGAGGGTATCAACCACCTGGAGAAGTGTGGTCATCTACGAGGTTAGTCGGTCCCGCCGTTATTGTTCTTGGAGTTTCTACAGCTTTTGGATGGGGAATGTAATATCTTATCAAGAGATATCAGAAGTATTCCATGTCGATATAGAGAGTATAGGACTGGCTTGAACTTACGAGACTAACACGGCAGCAGAGCGATACCTCCAGATGCTTAAGGCCCACAAGGTACGGGGTTACCTATTCGAGCAACAGAACTACATCCCCAAGTCCTCATAAGCGGAGAATAAATGAAATGCAAAAAGGAATTCTACGATTATCAATGGCATTCATCGCATTGTGATCACAAAGATGCGCAGGGTACGAGGACTGCTTGGGACCGAGCTCTTTACATGTTGAAAGGGTATATTCGATGTGATGTGGCGCGGAACACTTATCCGCCCACTATATCCCATGAATTGTATATACAAATATCCAGCAGCGATCTCAATGTGAAGAAGAAAAACCCAAAAACAACCCCCAGAACGACATAAATATCGTAATGACTGAAGATATATTCTTATTAATTAGCTCATGCGCGTAAAGCTGTTAATGCATAGCTTATCCATTATCCGTTATCATTGATCATTAACCGGGTCCCGCTCCAATCGCCCCCTTCCATCGGCGAAAACTAGCCCAAAAGCTCCGATCTTTTTACAAAATTTCTGGAGCTTCGATAATTCGCAACTCCAAAAATCGTCTTACTTATATATACCCCCCACCAAGCGAGGCGCCTGCGCAGATCCTACACACGCAGCAGCAGCAGCAGCAGCAGCCACCAGCAATATCATCCCACCATGATATGCCGACGGTGTCTCCAGCGAGCCTCGTCGCTCAGCTCGCGCATCCCCGCACGAGTCGTCCCAACGACGACGCCGTCGTTCTTCCTCCGACCATTCTCCAGCACGATCTCGCGCCGAACGTCTTCGCCCGCCCCCGAACCATCCTCCCCGTCGTCCGCGAGCGAATCGCCCGCGTTCAGCACGCCGCTGGCCGACACCCCGGCCGCGGACGAGAAGCCCACGCTGTCGGCGTGCCCCGAGGGGACCGTCCTCACCGGCTTGAATTACTTCAAGAACAGGACGGACCCCGTCGCCCTCGCCGACGACGCCTACCCGGCCTGGCTGTGGAATTGCCTCAACGTCCAGAAGAAGGTGGCGGACGAGGCGGACGATGATGCTGGTGACGAGTTCTGTAAGCGCCCCCCGCTCCTCTTTTCCTTCCCTTACCTTTTCCTTCGTTGCCCCTGCGTCCCTTAACCCCCCCTTCCCTCTTCTCTTCTTCCTATATATATATATATATATGCACCCAATCCATGAATACTTTCGATCCCCATACAAAAAAAAAAAAAACGTTTCTCTAACCATCCTCCCCCTTTTCTCTTCCTCTCTAGCCAAATCCAAGAAGCAGCGAAAACTAGCCGCCAAGCGGCAACGAGCCCTGGAAGCCCGCCTCCTCGCGGAAGGCAACCTCGAGGCCCTGGCGCCCAAGATCCCGCTGCAGCACCAGACCATCAACCTCCCCGGCAACGAGGAGGGCACGACGCAGGGCGCACTCGCGGCCGCCGCCGCGAGGGAGGAGCTGCGCAAGGCCATGCGCCGGGAGCGCAGGGCCAAGATCAAGGAGGACAATTACCTCAGGAGCATGTAATCTACGATCTACGGTCTACGGTTTATGGCTTATGGTCTATGGCATGGTGTGGTGTGGTGTGGTCCACCCGAGCTTGTTACCCGTCGAGCTTTTATTTGGGCCCTCGTGATATAATAAACGAGGAGTGGAGAGGAGAGGAGAGGGAAGAAAAAAAAATTCGACAGACAAGCGAAACTTAGGCGGGTAACGGAAGAGCTGAAACGCTGCGTTGCGAGGCTTTTCTGCTCGAACAAGATGTATTATACGCGACTAGACCTGTATACATACAAATGATATATACCAAAGGATAAGTAAACGTTGCTTCCTGCAGCATCCAGCTCGACGTTCATACCTTATATTAGTTAGGTCCTCACTATCACAAGTATGCCGCAACGAGATAAAAAGGTGCACTTTAACTGAATTAAGTTGAATATTCACGCTAGCTACCTTTCTCACGTAGCGCTAAAGGGGGTATCGTTCCGAAGCCGTATTCCTATCCATTCTTACAATGCCATTCCCCGCGGCGCGGCGGGGGGGGGGGGGGGGGCGGGGGGGGGGCGGGGCGGGGGGGGGGGGGGGGGGGCGGCGGGCCGC